ACATTCGAATCAAAGTAAAGTTTTTAAGCACCTCATGAACATTTTTTTTTTACCCCTTCATTTACCCCTTCATGTTTCAAATAACCTGAATGTTCACTAACACAACGGTGGGATTATTTACACTTCAGCTACCACCACCACCATCATCATCATCGTCAACCATGATCTATCCGATACTGGATGAAGGTCGACCTCACGCCATTGCCATGTCTCGCGCTCTTGAGATGGAATAATCCACCTGGCGTCTGCACAACATCTAACCTCATCGCTCCATCAGACATCACGGCGATGATGAACGACTCCGCTGCCCCACCCCTCCACCCCCCCCCGAATGTGATTGTCTGGCTCGACCACCTGAATGTGGTGACTTTGTGTAGCTGTTGATCTGCATCTACATCAGCAGCCGTACGGAAGGAGACGGCTTGGACGGACACGAGCGGCACTCGTTTGAACCGTCCCGGGTCACGCACCGCTTATACCTCCACCCCCTCCTCAATTACGATTAGCGCCTCCGATTGGCGCGGTTGTCTACGTACGGTGCGAAAGAAGTTCAACATACATACTGCACATAGACTAACACTACCCATAGACTAACACTACCCATAGACTAACACTACCCACAGACTAACACTACCAATAGACTAACACTGCCCATAGACCAACACAACCCATAGACTAACACTACCCATAGACTAACACTACCCATAGACTAACACTACCCATAGACTAACACTACCAATAGACTAACACTGCCCATAGACCAACACTACCCATAGACTAACACTACCCGTAGACTAACACTACCCATAGACTAACACTACCCATAGACTCAACACTACCCATAGACTAACACTACCCATAGACTAACACTGCCCATAGACTAACACTACCCATAGACTAAACACTACCCATAGACTAACACTGCCCATAGACTAACACTACCCATAGACTAACACTACCCATAGACTAAACACTACCCATAGACTAAACACTACCCATAGACTAAACACTACCCATAGACTAACACTGCCCATAGACTAACTCTACCCATAGACTAACACTACCCATAGACTAACACTACCCGTAGACTAACACTACCCATAGACTAACACTACCCATAGACTAACACTACCCATAGACTAACACTACCCGTAGACTAACACTACCCGTAGACTAACACTACCCGTAGACTAACACTACCCGTAGACTAACACTACCCATAGACTAACACTACCCATAGACTAACACTACCCATAGACTAACACTACCCATAGACTAACACTACCCATAGACTCAACACTACCCATAGACTAACACTACCCATAGACTAACACTACCCATAGACTAACACTGCCCATAGACCAACACTACCCATAGACTAACACTGCCCATAGACTCAACACTACCCATAGACTAACACTACCCATAGAGTAACACTACCCATAGACTAACACTACCCATAGACTCAACACTACCCATAGACTAACACTACCCATAGACTAAACACTACCCATAGACTAACACTACCCATAGACTAACACTACCCATAGACTAAACACTACCCATAGACTAACACTACCCATAGACTAACACTACCCATAGAATCAACACTCCCCATAGACTAACACTACCCATAGACTAACACTACCCATAGACTAACACTGCACCTCCGATTGGCACGGTTGGCTACGTACGGTGCGAAAGAAGTTCAAGGTACAGTACGTACATACGTACGAGCTATTCTCGCGGCATCGCACGCATTGTCGGTGACATCAGCACAGCAATTATCTGCTGAGGCAATATAACTATAAAGAACAGATTGGTTTTCCGCTGAGACAATACACTTTTTACGTGGATAGGCAGATACGCCGCGGAGATATTTCTGTGGAGTTTACTGATCGCTATATTTGTCGAGTTACGTCTCGAGGTGACTCTGCGTGGAATTAGAATCCCGTTATAAGCCTAAAGAGAGGAAGAAACGTCCTTCTTTGGCTGTGCGATCGGTAGCTCGCCAGCAATGACTCAAGCGAGCCCGAGTCCACTGATGAGACACAGGCGGGTCGTGGAGTTTTGGTCGTCTTCAATCAGTGATTGCTGGGGTGAAGCACCTCCCAGGTAAGCGATGATTTTACTGGTAGGAACGAAGTTGTAAACTGAGTGTACCAGCCTGCAATAGATTAATGTGTCCGTCCGTCCGTCCCCTTTCAATACTTTAACGAAGTGAAATCTCGTTCTGTTGGGTGTAAAATCAACAATAGACAGCGCAGAGACTTGTCCTACCAGCCCACCCTGCAGGGACCTGTTAGTTTTGTGTGGAGATCGGCATGTGAAAGAGACACACGGTCTGCTTATATGTTATACAAACTAGCAGGAAGTACCCAGCGTTGCCCGGGTCTTAAAAATATTTAAAAGCTACTCTTAAAAATGTAACAGCAGTGCGTAGTAACTGTGGTGGTACCTGCTATGATTACAGCAGTGAATACTGTGGTGGCACCTGCTATGATTACAGCAGTAAATACTGACTGTGGTGGTACCTGCTATGATTACAGCAGTGCATACCGACTGTGGTGGTACCTGCTATGATTACAGCAGTGCATACCGACTGTGGTGGTACCTGTTATGATTACAGCAGTGAATACCGACTGTGGTGGTGCCTGCTATGATTACAGCAGTGCATACTGACTGTGGTGGTACCTGCTATGATTACAGCAGTGCGTACTGACTGTGGTGGTACCTGCTATGATTACAGCAGTGCATACCGACTGTGGTGGTGCCTGCTATGATTACAGCAGTGCATAGTGACTATGGTGGTACCTGCTATGATTACAGCAGTGCGTACTGACTGTGGTGGTACCTGCTATGATTACAGCAGTGAATACTGTGGTGAAACCTGCTATGATTACAGCAGTGCATACTGACTGTGGTGGTACCTGCTATGATTACAGCAGTGAATACTGTGGTGGTACCTGCTATTACAGCAGTGAATACCGACTGTGGTGGTACCTGCTATGATTACAGCAGTGCGTACTGACTGTGGTGGTACCTGCTATGATTACAGCAGTGAATACTGTGGTGGTACCTGCTATGATTACAGCAGTGAATACCGACTGTGGTGGTACCTGCTATGATTACAGCAGTGCGTACTGACTGTGGTGGTACCTGCTATGATTACAGCAGTGCGTACTGACTGTGGTGGTACCTGCTATGATTACAGCAGTGAATACTGTGGTGGTACCTGCTATGATTACAGCAGTGAATACTGACTGTGGTGGTACCTGCTATGATTACAGCAGTGAATACTGTGGTGGTACCTGCTATGATTACAGCAGTGCATACTGACTGTGGTGGTACCTGCTATGATTACAGCAGTGAATACTGACTGTGGTGGTACCTGCTATGATTACAGCAGTGAATACTGACTGTGGTGGTACCTGCTATGATTACAGCAGTGAATACTGACTGTGGTGGTACCTGCTATGATTACAGCAGTGAATACTGTGGTGGTACCTGCTATGATTACAGCAGTGCATACTGACTGTGGTGGTACCTATGATTACAGCAGTGAACACTGACTGTGGTGGTACCTGATATGATTACAGCAGTGCATACTGACTTTGGTGGTACCTGCTATGATTACAGCAGTGAATACTGACTGTGGTGGTACCTGCTATGATTACAGCAGTGCATACTGACTGTGGTGGTACCTGCTATGATTACAGCAGTGAATACTGTGGTGGTACCTGCTATGATTACAGCAGTGCATACTGACTGTGGTGGTACCTATGATTACAGCAGTGAATACTGTGGTGGTACCTGCTATGATTACAGCAGTGCATACCGACTGTGGTGGTACCTGCTACATCTAGCAACTGTATAGTAGTAATCACTGCACGCATCTTGGTAGGGGAGACATTACACAGTGAATATATTTTTATAGCATTTAACGCGAAAGAAAATCCCCCCCCCCCCCCCGCCAAAGGCGCGTGTGTTGTTATGGTAATACGCGTGTGATAAATAAATAAAAGGTCTACTGCCTATGGTGCTAGCATCTAGCGACTGTATAACTGTATATATTAGTAACTGCACGCATCTGAGTGGGGGAGGGGGGGACATGACTCAGTGAAGAATTTACGTCAGCGTTTAGTGTATTTTTACAGCATTTTTAACGCGAACGAAAACGTCTCCCTGGCTCCCTTACCGAAGGCGTGCGACTTGGCATGGTCCGTCCCCCCCCACCAAAGGCGTGCGACTTGGCATGGTCCGTTCCCCCCCCCCACCAAAGGCGTGCGACTTGGCATGGTCCGTCCCCCCCCCACCAAAGGCGTGCGACTTGGCATGGTCCGTACCCCCCCCCCCCCCAACGCGTGCGACTTGGCTTGGTCCGTCCCCCCCCACCAAAGGCGTGCGACTTGGCATGGTCCGTCCCCCCCCACCAAAGGCGTGCGACTTGGCATGGTCCGTCCCCCCCCACCAAAGGCGTGCGACTTGGCATGGTCCGTCCCCCCCCACCAAAGGCGTGCGACTTGGCTTGGTCCGTCCCCCCCACCAAAGGCGCGTGAGTTGGTACGGCCGTTCACGCGTCATAAATAAATAAATAACAGCGAAGCGCGCAAGAGTCGCACTAAATCGCTAATTAAACTAATTGAAAGTTGACGGATGTGAAAAATCAATAGCGCTTGCTGACCGCGGGGCTTACGGCGTGGTAACTGGCAATTTATTTTTTTACGTAAACCACCCCCCCCCCCCCCCCCCCCCCCCGTTGGAGAGCCAAGCGAGCCACCACACGTAAGCAAGCTATTCAATACGTGAAAATTATAATAGCGCGTTGGTTACTTGAAACATAAACTAAATATTAAAGTATTAAATAATAGTTTATAAATGAACTCACCTTAAATTATGACGATGCTCTGCCGTACATTCGCCTTATCGCATCACGTTCTCACCGCTGTATCTAATCGCTTTAATCTCTCTCTCTCTACCTCTCTACCTCGATGCAACACAGGACTGCAGATGTTGTCGACTTCCAGATGCGATTCGCGGATAAACAAAACAGCGGACGGCAAGTTCGCGAATGACGAGGGACGCCGTATCTCGTTCCGCCCCCAACCATCCCACAACCCCGACCCCTATAAAAAACCGCGCTCCGATAATCTTCCTCGCAGGAGGCAGGCTGGTGGTTGTCAGCAAGGTGATCACCGGTCGGGCTGCCAGACTTTAGACTCTCTCTCTCTAAGGTACGTTGACTCTGCGTGATTCTCCTCTTAGATCACGGCTCACCGCCGCTTTGTGCAGCTTACGAGCGTCGATTGAAGTGGAAAATGTTTTAAGAGCTCGGGCCATGTTGGCACAGAGTTGTCGGTCGGAGCGCTGAGCCGGCAACCGCTTGAGACGCCGGGTTCGAATCCAGGTTCCAAGCCTCCTGCGGTTAAAACTTGGCCCTGGAGTGCAGAGAGTTGATGGGGCTTGGCCCGGTCACCAACGACCGCACAACAATAACAACAACAAACGACCATGTTTAACATGGTGCTCCGCAGAATTTGGGCTTAGTTCTAGCTCCAAGAATGAACCAATATCGGTGTGGCTACCGTGCGATTCGCGTTCACTCTGGGTCGCAGAGCGGGCGGGAACTGCGTGGCTCCAGGACTAAATGAACCAGAGGTCACTTGAACAAGGGGTCTCAGAGGTAGCTCTGCAGTGTCCGCTTCCACGGGCCGTTATCCACCAGTGTGTAGAGTCGCACTGATCCTGTGAGAGATCCGAATGGGGTTATAGTTTCGTGACGTGACGCAGATCGCACAATCGCGATCAGATTGAGACGGCAAAACAAACAATGTATTCTGTTGACAACTAATTTCTTTAGAATTATTTTTTTTGTCTTTAGTGTTGCTGCCCTTCCCCCGCACCTCCGATGAGCGCGGTTGGCTACTTACGGTGCGAAAGAAGTTCAACGTACAGTACTTACATTACATGTGTGACCAATGAACACAGTGCAAATGAGTCCGCAAGGCGAACAATTATTAACCCCCTTTGCTGTCATGCTTCTGGGTCGTTACTCGATTTTCATAAAATGCGGTGACAGCGAGGTCGGTGGCACGATCAGGACAAAGTGTCTGCGCCTATCGTGCTGCAGATCCCGTCGCGACGCGGCCCGAGTCCACCCTGCCGCTACAACTGCTCCTGCTGCCGCCACTTGACCCGGGAGCTGGTGGCGATCGGCACGGAGAGAGAGGAAGAGAGGAAGCCAGAGCCCGGGACACGACGCAGGCGCCATGAAGGACTCGCTGAAGCAGAGGCACGCGGCCGGCTCGAACGGGGCGACACCGCGAAGCGGCCCCTCCCGAGGCTCCATCACCTCGAAGAGCAGCAGCAGCAGCAGCGGGGGGGGCAGCAACACTATGCGACTCAAGCAAGAGGTGAGAACGGCTACACCCACCGCCTACTGCCCCTCGAGTGTACGCGGGGCTTCACCAGGAATGGTAACCATCTATTACACTTTTGTATTTTACCGGGTAAGACCCATTGGAGCTGTGTCGCTCTTTTTCAGAAGCGACGCTGCCTATCGCACCTAACTGTGGCCCAACGAAGTGGCTTTTCCTCACGTGGGCATCTATAGCGGCCGTCAAATCACTCTAAATGCGCGACGTTGTTGATTCTAAACGTGGAAAGGAAAAAAACCCGGAGGGGCCTGGAGAAAATAAATCCACGCGACCACGGGGAGAGAGACACCACAAACTCCAAATGTACAGCAGCAGGCGTCAGGGTTGGGATCGAACCCACGACCTCCTGCATACCAGGCGAGGTAGTTAACAACTGGCCACCGCCGCGGTGTTCATTCTAATAAGGTCGCATTTATTACACACAAAGTGCTCGACACAAATGAACCACAATACCTCGCCGATCTCGTCAAGGTAGCATGTATCACCGTCACGCGAGCACCGTCGATCATCCTCGCAGCAGCGGCGGCTTTTGGCTGTCAACCATCGAACAAAGGCGGCGGGCACCGCATCGCGCGGCGCTTTCTGTCTCCTTGTCAGAACGGGCGAAGCGTTTTTCTGTTGTCATCATCGTGGTGCCGGCTAAAAGGGTCCCAGAGATACACTATTGGTACTATCGTGCTTGTGTCCTGTTTGTTGTCGTTACGTTCTTACCCCGTGTCCCTACTGGACATCTGTGACCAAAGAGCTTTATACCTCATCGGATTCCTCCTGCAGTATAAATAAATATTCTGATTGCGATCGGTATGAATCGGTGCAACTCTGGAAGCCTGAAGCGATGCATCCCTTTCTAGCGGGGTGCCGTACAGCCGCTTTAAAAAAAAAATCATCCACTCTGCCACACAGGGACTTGCAGGGCCCTTAAGCCCAATGCCGCAGGGGACTTGCCAAACACTCAGCGCTCAGCACAAACAGTCCAGTTGCCTTGGCACTGCCTCTTGTCGTTCCCCCGCACCTCCAATTCGCACGGTTGGCTACGTGCTGCTCGAGAGAAGTTCAAGTTCGACATACGTGGGATGGCTGCTACTATAAATGCCCACGTGATAAGCCACTTTCATTGAGCTGCCATTTGTGATGGCCAGGTCGCTTATGAAAAATAACTACATAGCTCAATGGGCCTAACAGCTGGTAAAATACAAATAGTTGTATAGAATGGTGGCCCTCTCCACTATAGGCAATCGGTGGCCCTGCCCATTCACAGAAACTGTTAGAATTGGATTCAGGCCACTGCTGCAAACAAGAAGACCCTCTGTGCCCAACAAGGACCCCGTAGAATGAAGAGACGTTCCTTGCCTGTAAGGATTGGCAGTTGATACTCTTTGGATTCTTCCAGTCTGAATCTAGGCTCTGATTCAAACAAGCCTGACTCTGCCGATGAGACACCGTGTGTCGAAACCATTCTTGAATCAATGCTGCTGAAATGAGACACTCCCAGAAGGCCGTGCGGCTGATGGGTTGTGTAAGGAATGTCAAGGAAACCTGATTCCTACTCTATATAAACCACTTGTTTTTATCTCCTGCTAAATTGTATATATAATTAATGTCTCTTTCGTATATCTCTCCAAATAATATATTTTTTAACTGAATTATTGCTTACACAACCCATTGGCCTTCTGCAAGTGCACACAACAGCAATACATCACCGTCAATGGTTCAGTCGGAGCAACCTCTGGACCCCTGTTTCGATATACAGTGTCTCATCAGCAGAGGCAGCCCCATGCGGGGCCTGTAACATGTTATAAAGGGGCCATAAATAAATAAAAAAACACGTAAATATTAAAACACTCATTTTTAACTTGCATAGTAAAGTAATTGTATTTTTTCATTTGCTATACAGCCAGATAATGACAAATCGCTAACCTTAAACACCCAATCGTTCGTAAAAGTTGAAGGCGGTATAGTACTATAGTAATAGAGCAAGTGCAGAATCACTGAACCGGAATTGATAGCTTGAAAGCATTTAGCGTGGGACTCTTGAAAGTGCGGGGCCCGTAGCATACGTAGTTACTTTTGCTATTAGGATAATCCGGCACTGCGAATTGGACTTCATTGAGAAGTGTTAAATTAGTTGTTGTTTATGTAACAAGAGCCGTTGCTTGGACCTTTTTAGCCCATGCATCGAGTGGCCACTCAGCCTGCACATGGCGAAGGGAAGTTTCCGTTGTCTGGAATTTCTCCATCCCCTCCATGCATCACTGCTGGTGTAAAAGTCACCAGTTGAGGATCTCCTTCTGCTCCGTTCACATCTCCAGTTCGCTCGGCATCTCCTCCTCTTCTCTGTCTCTGTGCCTCTGTGCTACGCCTCCTCTGTGTGGACTGGCTGTGCTGTGTGTCGCAGCTCTGTCCCGCAAACCGGTAAAGATTTCGCGATTGACTTTAAACTCGCGATGTTTGAATTTAATGGCAAATGAATGCAACCGGGAGGTGTGACCTTGGAAATAAGAAACCTGAATCTTGAGATGTCCCTTCACTAAAAAGACGTTTGACCTCTCGGCATCCTCGTCTAATTTTAAATAAAGATTACAGAGCAAATTCATCGTCACTTCTAAACTAAAAGCTAGTGTTTATATATTTTTAAAAATATATATTATTAATTGTTTTTATCTTACAAGGTAAATCCCACTGAGCTACGCAGCTCTTTTTCAGACGGGACCTGGGCACAAACGATAGCTCAACGAAGTGGCTTGTCACGTGTAAATGTCGTGAAGCAGCCAGGTACTCTAAACGCGCGATGTTGCTTCTAATTGTGGGGCAAAAAATCCAGAGGACCCGGAGAAAAATCCACAAAACCACCTGGAGAGAGAGACACGCAAACTTCAACTATATAGGCGTCAGGGTCGGGATCAAACCCACGACCTCCTGTATACAAGGTCAGGTAGTTAACATCTCACCACCATGGCACCCCTTACGTATCTCATGTATATATGTTACTATCTGCACCGATGTCGCTCTGGTGAAAGTGTGTTTCCGTGCCTTGGGTCTTGTCTCCTGCACAACGCACGTGCAACAGAGCGCCGGCGTTTATGCTCGCCCTGCTCTGGGAGGACGGCGCAAATAGCAACAGGGGGGCAGCAATGGTCCCATTGCATTGTGCCGCAGGCACCGCACACACTCACTCACATTCACACACACAAAAAAGACAAAAATCCCCCATATAGCCTTAACAGACTGTAGGGGCAAGCGCTGTTAGCGAGCACCTATGAAGACCGAAATGGTACACGAGGGGGTGGGTGGCCAGCACCACGCCCAACCGCCTTAGTCTCCCCAGTGGCGATGTTTTTATCCACCGCACCAGGTACTCATTTGAGGCTGAGTCGACCTAGGGGAGGCCCAGGACCGGTTCAGATAATCGTCACTGGTGTTGGCCGTGAGCGGGAATCGAACCCGGGTCCCCAGGTTCATAGCGCAGCGCGCTAACCGCTACACTACCGCTCCCCACACACAGTCACTCACACACACTCACACACACTCACACTCTCACACACTCACTCACACACTCTCACTCACTCTTACTCACACACTCACACGGGTCTCACTCACTCCCTGTCGTTGCCCAAAACACCAACTACAATTCCGTGGCTCCATGTGACTATCCTCGCTCCTTCTCTCATCTTAGCCACAATTCGATGCCGAGTTGTCGATCCTTCAAGACCACTTCCTTTGCGATTGTATTCGACTCGCATTCCCCTTGCGTACTCGTTGCAATAGTCCCACCCTACATCCGTTTCACATTTACGTCACTAAACTTTTGCAACCGAACCCACTCGCACCGCGGGGAATTCGTTCAGAGTTGAAAATCGTTTCGCGTTTGCGCGATACATTTTCAGATCCTTACGCAACGCGAGTTCTTCTTGCACCCAACTTCTAATCGTTTCACCGCTGCCAATTGATCACGTCTGGCTTTCCTCGTTTTGGCCACCCAGGTCACGCCTGCGAATGAGTTCCATCGCTCTCACCATGGCCGCAGTTAGCGGGGGGCTGGGGGGGGGGGGCACGGGGGGCGGTGCCCCACCCCCGCCCCTTCCTCAAACTGGACACCTTTATTAATTTATATTCAGCGGAACGAGATACGGTGTTCCCTCGTTATTCGCGAACTTGCCGTCCGCGGTTTTGGCTGTCCGCGAATCGCGTCTGGAACGCTACACGATCTGCAGTACTGTGGCTCGAGAGAGAGATTAAGCGACGAGATAAAGAAGTGATGAGAGACAATTTGATGCGAGGTGATGAGATGTTATTCATTCATTTTCTGTGGTTTACAATTAAGATGAAACACTCATTAATTATGCGCACCCACGATTCATAATGTGAGGAACAAAGCAAACCCCTGCCGCCCCCGTCCCCAAATATAGAAGTCAAACTCCGCCTGTGGCTCTCACCCTGGCCAAAAAACAAAATGACAAAAAAGACTTCTCGATTGCCAACAGGTGGGCCTGATGAGCGGCATCAGCCTGATCGTGGGCACGATGATCGGCTCGGGGATCTTCATCTCGCCCAAGTCGGTACTCGAGAACGTCGGCGCCGTGGGGCCCAGCCTCATCATCTGGATGGCGTGCGGAGTCCTCGCCACTCTCGGTACTCACCACACCAACAACGTCGCAGTGACGCACTGAGACTCCACGTGTCTTAATCCTGTCACCCCCCCCCCCCCCCCCCATACTCATTTTTAAACCACAAAACTGATATTTTTGTTATTTTACCAGATATGTGGCTCTTTTTCAGAAGCGACGTGGCGTTCACAAATGATTGCTCAACGAAGTGGCTTGTCGCATGGACATTTATAGTAGCCAAATACTCTTAAGAGCACTTCCATTCTAAATGTAAAGTGAAAAATCGGAGGAACCAGAGAAAAATCCACGCTACCACGGGGAGAACCCACAAACTCCAAATATACAGCAGCAAGCGTCAGGGTCGGGATCGCATCCACGACCTCCTGTATACCAGGCGAGGTAGTTAACATCTTGCCACCGTGGCAGCCATTAATAATACCGTTATAAACGTGACGATCTTGTTGAGTGGCAGAGAGTTAACACATTTGGAGTTTGCGTGTCTCTCTCTCCCCGTGGCCGCGTGGATTTTTCTCTGTGTCCTCCGGTTTTTCCATCCACATTTATAATCGCCATCACATGTTCAGAGTATTTGTCTGCTGCTAGACATTTCCACGTGGTGATAAGCCACTTCGTTGAGCTATAATTTGTGGCCAAGTCGCATCCGAAAAAGAGACATACAGCTCAGTGGGCCTTACCTGGTGAAATAAACATTGTTTAGTTTGTCTCCCGAGCACTGACGCTGATGCATTGTACAACGTTCTCATTTCGAGTTGAATCAACCTCGGCGAGGCCTCGGGGCGGTTTGGGCAATCGCCACTGATTGTAGCTGTTGCCAAGAAATGAAATCAGCTCACCGGCTTCGTAGCAGAGTGCACGAACCACTGTGCCACTGCTGGGCCCAATACAAAGACAAAGTTCCCCCGTATAGCCTAACACGGCACACGAGGGGTGGGTGACCAGCACCACGCCTGGCCGCATTTGTCTCCCCAGTGGCGATGTTTACACACCGCACCAGGTACTCATTTGAGGCTGAGTTGACCCAGGACCAGTTCAGACAATCGTCACTGATGTTTGCCGTGAGCGGGAATCGAACGTCGGTTGCCGGGTCAATAGCGCAGCGCGATAATGGCTACACCTACCGCTCTTTGTCCACCCAATACACCTCTACATGCACACACACATACTCAGTGTTCACAAATTGTAGGGATTAGCTAAATTCAAGTTGACTCATGATGGTAATGTGATTCTTTGTCTCCTGTGGCCAGCCTCTTTGATTTCCTGAGTGGGGATTATGCAAACACAGGAAGCCCATGAGACCCCATTGTTGGCATTGTTTGGCCAGAGATTGTGGGCCTAAACGGCTTGTTCAGTGGGAATCAAGCAAAAATAATAACGGGGAATAGAGATAATGGCCGTTCGTGGATTCTGGAACGTTTCCCAAGGTGTGTGCGCGTTTGTCCTCGCGTTTGTCCTCGGGGGAAGTATTCAATTATCCACCACAACGTGAGGTTCGGTTACGAGCCGCATAACGAGGCGACGTCGAAGGGCGTGAGATGGGTGAACTCGCGAGGTGACGTCACACAACAACAACCAACAACCGCCATTCGCCACTAAGTGGCGGTGACGTCACCACGACGCTTGTGCCAGGCCATGTGCACCTTGAGGCCACGTGAAGTGTCGAACGCCCGCGGGTAGGAGGTCACGGGGCAGACCCAAGTGCCACGGGTCGACTGACTGAGATCACTGAGATGAGTGGCTGATGCACCACCTGTGCCCCCTACTGTGCCAACCTGCTGTGCTCTAGCCACCCGGCGCTCCGCTCGTTGTTGTGAGCGTCGCTCCTCCGCCCTCCGTTGTTGTTGGAGGGCGACTACCTCCAACTGCCCAGTAGCGTCCTTCACGAGCCTCCTCCACAGAGGCCGATCTTGACACCGCTGGTACCGGTCATCGGCAATTCCACTCAGCTCCACATCCTCCTGTACCACATCACTCCATCTCTTCTCTAGCCCGTGCCGCGCCCGTTTAGCCCCCTCGATCCGGCCAAACAAAAGCTGTTTCGGCATGCGGTGGCTGGGCATGCGGGCTACATGACCCAGTCAACGCAGCCTTGCCTGCCGGAGGAGCTCACCGATGGGACCTTGCCCAGATCTTTCAAGGATTTGTGAGCTCCTCACACAATCCAGCCTGGTTAAACCCAGGATGGATCGTAGGCAGGCTAGCCTAAATGTTTCTAACCGGCGAAGATGTTCCATTAGGGGGGTCCACGTTTCGCAAGCGTAGAGAAGGGAGGGAATGACCGTGGCCGAGAAGACCTGAAGCTTAGTGCGGAGCGACAGACCAGGTAGCTTCCACACAGCGTTACGCAACCGATGAAAAGATATTGCCGCTCGACTGATTCGGAGTGAGACCTCTGCTGTTAAACTGGAGCCGGCCATAAGCACACTGCCCAGGTATGGGAAACTCTCCACTCTCTCCACAACTGCCCATCACCAATTGGGAGTAGAGTGTCCGATGGTACAAAATACCCAGGCAGGTGCTTAGTTTTGGTGGGGCTGATGGTAAGGCCCCATCTCTTAGTGGCATGCTCCAGTCTCAGCAGCAGCATCTCCAACTCCTCCTCTGAATGAGCAGCTATTACCAAATCATCGGCATATATAACGTGGTTGAGCAATAGGGAGCCATCCCTTGACCGCACCCGGGCATCGATCAGCCTCCCATTATATCTGTACCATATGGAGATTCCCCCGGTACAGCTATTGAAGTCTTCACAAACTACGTGGTCAAAATAGATGTTAAATAATGTGGGAGCCAGAGGACATCCCTGTCGCACCCCAAGGTGTACAGGGAATGGCTCTGACTCCCGGCCACATAGTTTTACCCGGGCCCGCTCACCATCATGAAGGTCCTTAATGAACGTGAGCAGAGGGTCAGGATACTCCAAAAGCACGAAGAACAACCCAGAGCCCAGGTCAATAAGCAGAGATGTAGGTCTTGCTGGAATTCCCTACACCTCTGCTGTAGCAGACGGACAGAAAATATGGCATCTGTGCAGGACCGCCCTTTCCTGAAACCGCATTGGGGCTCCGCAAGCCTCTCCTCAGCTTGCCTGGCAAGGCGATGTTGAATAATCTTTGCCAGGACCTTTCCCGGCAAACTGAGGAGTGAGATGCCCCTGTAGTTGTTACAGTCTGTGCGGTCCCCCTTCTTAAAGAGGGGGACCACCAGGGCATCCTTCCAATCCTGCGGAACCCGTCCAGTGGTCCAGACTGTTGCTATGATGTCATATAGGGCAGTCTGTGCACAAACGCCACCCTCTCTCAGCATTTCACTTGGAAGATCATCTCTGCCCACTGCGCACACACACACGATGATGTCACCAACACTTTGGCTGGCAAGGAAATTACTCTTAGCGGTGATTTTTTAAATTTATTTTGTCACTCAGGTATTGACCAACCCTTGGATCAAAGAAGCAGGTCTCCTAGAGGGCAAGTGACTCATAGCAAACTGACCACATATACAATGTTTATTATTCACATTGGATCATGTTTACGAGAGGTATGCTGGGGCCCCTTACAGACTGACAGGCAGATTGACAGAGTGGAGCTAATACATTCCTGGGAATGATCAGTTCAAGTCAGGAAGGGGGTGGGGGGGGTTACGTTCCTGGAAGACACGACTTAAACCCATACGACATTTACCCAATCAGCTATTTCCGACAAGAGTGAGGGTGGCTACGTTCCAGCTCCTCCGTGTGTCAAGTCTTCATACATGGGAGCGGGAGGGGGGAGCGGGGGGGGGGGGGTAGCAGGTCCAGAGGTAAAGCCTCTTGGCTGGGCGCAGCACAGCCAGTGAAAGATCTGAGTCCGGGTGGCGGGCGCGAGCTACAAACGGACCTCGGACCCAGTGCCGTGGGGACGCGGCAACTCCTCGATGCACCGCTGCAAGATGACCTCCCTCCGACCGGCGCTATTTTTATTGCGTTGGAACACGACGGAGGCGGCGCTCTGATTGTTGTGATTGACCTTGGACGGGGTCGAGGTTGGCTTGAGTCATGGGGCCAAGGTCGGCCTATGTCACGGGGTCGGCCTGTGTCACAGGGTCGAGGTCAGCTCGAGTCATGGGGCCAAGGTCGGCCGTCTCTCTTGTTGGCTCCTCTAATCCCGACCTTCATGACGCCTGCTCTAGATTTGGAGTTTTGCGTCTTCTCTCTACCCGTGGTGATGTGGATTTTTTTCCGGGTCCCGTTTTTTCCTTCACATTTAGAAACAACATCACGCGTTTAGATTATTTAGAATATTTTGCTGCTACAAATTTCCACGTGATAGGCCACTTCGTTGAGCTACCATTTGTGGCCAGGTCACTTCTGAAAAATAAGCTAATAATAGTGGGCCTTACCTGGTAAAATATTTACTTTAGTGATTTGTTTACCTTTCCTAGACTTTGCACTGCTATCGTGTTTTTGTATTGTTTGTTGGTGTAACTTTCTGCTCTGCCCCAACTGGAAATCTGTGGAAAAGAGCTTTAAAGCTCATCAGATTCCTCCAATATAAATAAATAAATACTCTGATTCTTATTAACCTCACTAGTGACTTTAAGATGTTTCTTGTTCATGTTTTTGTTTGTTGCGGTTGCACCCGAGTCAAGAGCCGCATGGCTCACAGGGTTCTACCTCCTCATACATGAAAACTGAAAACCTGGCCCAAATCTCAAATGCGATGAGGCGTTCAAGAACCTATTTTCACCCTCCCCAAGCAATTCCTAAGAACCATAAATCTTTAGTGCTCATACGACACACTTAGTAATAACCCACTTACGTTTATTCCCGTTATGTTTACTGCGCACGCAGTGAACATAAATGCCAAAGCTGTCCATGTGCGCCTGCCCCATCCATCTGTCCACCCGTATCGATGTGACCACGAGATGACTCTCGTAAAGAGGATCCAATGTCCATGAAATCTTATTTAAAAATTGTATTTCTGCTTTGAGTTAACATCGGCCAAGTTGATCCGGGTTTGCCCAAAACTCGCCGACTAAAAACCAAAAAGAAGTGCCGATTGGTTAAGCCATTTCGGGCAAAGGTAATAACGTGATAACGCGCCGCTCACCCCGTGATGTCATGCGCCGCGTGACGTCACCTCACTGTGTGACTGTTTAATCGCATCAATGCGATCACAACAAAGACGTGGCTCGAGAGCGTCGCGCCATCCTTGAACGTGCACGCTTTTGCTTCCTCGTTGAGGTCGGAGAAGTCTTCAGTGGTTTCTCGCTCAATCGAAGGCACTTCACTAGAATAATCAAGGACCACAGTATCTCACGAACATGAATGGTGTGCTGGGGACTTTGTACACTCACGCTCGAAGATAATGGTGCCATTAATAGACTACAATGTGAGAACAAGCACCCTGACATTAGCAAGTACTCATCATATGATGTACCGATATAACAGACAGAGGTGACCTGCCGGTTAATACGGCCATAAAAAAGGGGGCATCGATCTGTTCCTTCTCAAATGGCTGTGGGCGCCACGGTGGGTAGGAGATGTTAACTCCCTCGCCTGGTTCACAGGAGGTCGTGGGTTCGATCCCGACCCTGATGCCTGCTGCTGCTGTATATTTGAAGTCTCTCTCCCCGTGGTCGCGTGGATTTTTCTTCGGGTCCTCTGCTTTTTCCCTCTACATTTCCACGTGATAAGCCACTTTGTTGAGCTTTCATTTGTGACCAGGTCGCTTCTGAAAAAGAGCTATTTTGCTCCGTGGGCCTTACCTGGGGAAAAAAATAATAATTCGTTTAAGTGAACATCCGATCTCCATAACAAAGACAAAGATCCTCTGTATAGCCTGTAACAGACTGTTGGGGCAAATGCTGCTAGCGAGCACCTATGAAGGCCAGCACAGAACACGTGGGGGTGGGTGGCCAGCACCACGCCCGGCCGCCTTTGTCTCCCCTTGAGGCGATGTTTACACACCGCACCAGGTACTCATTTGAGGCTGAGTCGACCTCAGGGAGGCCCAGGACCGGTTTAGATAATCGTCGGGAATCGAACTCGGGTGGCCGGGTTACGGCACCACTACCACTCGCCCCATGTGCACGCGCACACACACATTGCGCGTGTACTCATTTGCCTTCCCAATGAGGATTCAGTGCAATGCCTGGAGCTCGACTGGGGGAAGGGAAGACGAGAGATGATAAGAGATGACACCTCAAGGGAGTAGCCAATTCCACCATTTTAACAGGCCTGATAATATTGGGATGGTCCGCTTATCACCGTGGCACTAAATCGGGGTTAGGCGGGTGCGCCGAGTTCGCACACTCGCTCGGGGCAGCATCTCAGCTCGAGAAGAGATAGCAGCCTCATATCATGATCACGTGGGTTACAACAAGGGCCAGATTTAGGTTTTATTCCTCCCCCACCCCTTGTGAAAGCACAACAACAGACGCGCGTGCGTGATTGTGGGTCATCATCGCGAAGCAAAAATACTTTCAGCGCCGGTGTTGTCGCCAAGTTTTTTGGCAAAACGTTGGTGAATTTGGCCGGTTTTGCTCGAGGGGGGGTAAAATCCAGAATGGGAACGCAACTTTAGAGGAACATTTCAAATTGGATCATCGCCACGACAGTTGTCGCCGATCCTCCGTTACGCGCAGACGGACGGACGGAGCTCACGCATCGTCGCTTTTGTCCTCCGTTGGAAAAAGCGCTACAAAGCGAATTGGAAACATGGCAGTGTATAAAACCCACTGCCCGTGAATCCTACCCTTCGTTTCGGGAGTTTGCTTTAGGGAGAGGGCATTGTGACTGACCGTCCATCCCTCCGTCCGTCTGCGCTGTCTGCCCGTGTCCGCGTCTGTCCGTCCTCACGTCCCGCTGCCACCTAGGCGCGCTGGCGTACGCCGAGCTGGGCACGATGATCACTAAGTCGGGCGCCGAGTACCCGTACCTGCTGGAGGCGTTCGGGCCCATCCCGGCGTTCCTCTACTCGTGGGCGTCCGTCATCGTGCTCAAGCCGTCCTCCTTCGCCATCATCTGCCTCAGCTTCGCCGAGTACACGTCCACGCCCTTCTACCCGGGCTGCGAGCCGCCAATGCTCGTCAAGAAGTGCCTGGCCGCCGCTGCCATCTGTAAGTTGCGGACGACAAACCACGGTGGCTAGGAGATGTTAACTCCCTCGCCTGGTATGCAGGAGGTCGTGGGTTCCATCCTGACCCCCGACGCCTGCTGTGTATTTGGATTTTGCATGGTCGCGTGGATTTTTCTCCGGGTCGTCCGGTTTTTCCCTCCGAATTTAGAATCGACATCACGCGTTTAGAGTATTTGGCTCATATACATATTCACAATACGTCACTTTGTTGAGCTATCATTTGTGACAGCCAGGTCTCTTCTGAAACAGAGCTACATAGCTCTGGGCTTTACCTGGTAAAATAAAACTAATTTATAGTTTTAACTCCCTCCATCTTGAGCTTCCCTCGTCATTTCACTTTGCGTGCCCCTTCTTCCTTCAAGTCTTCAAGCAGCATCTACCTTTTATCTGCCAACATCAGAATCTTCATGCATTCTGGAGGAATCTGATGAGCTATAAAGCTCTTTCACAGATGTCCAGTGGGGGTGGGTCAGAACGGAACAACAACAAACAACACAAAAACACGATAGGAATGCAAAGTATAGTAACGGTAAGCAAATCACTTAGAAATATACAAAAATAAAACTCTCGCCTTGGAGGGACGCACGCAGTTGACATCTTTGGCATGTTCTGGATTGTCCAGATTAGACTTGTCCCCTCTCAATCGATCAATCTTCAGTTTACATGCCAATATCGCCCTCCATAACGTGGGCATCGGGGCCCATTACAGCGGAACGGGAATGGCACAGGGAGGCAGAGCCACAGGAACGAGAAAATGAACCCCGCGGCTATCGCTGACTGAGAAAAGTACGAATGTGTATGTACGTTGCACTTCTTTCGGACCGTACATAGCCAACTGTGCTAATCGGAAGTGCAATGTTGAGTCTATGGGCAGTGTTAGTCTATGGGTAGTGTTAGTCTATGGGTAGTGTTAGTCTATGGGTAGTGTTAGTCTATGGGTAGTGTTAGTCTATGGGCAGTGTTAGTCTATGGGTAGTCTTAGTCTATGGGTAGTGTTAGTCTATGGGTAGTGTTAGTCTATGGGTAGTGTTAGTCTATGGGTAGTGTTAGTCTATGGGCAGTGTTAGTCTATGGGTAGTGTTGAGTCTATGAGTAGTGTTTGTCTATGGGTAGTGTTGAGTCTATGGGTAGTGTTAGTCTATGGGTAGTGTTAGTCTATGGGCAGCGTTAGTCTATGGGTAGTGTTGAGTCTGGGTAGTGTTGGTCTATGGGTAGTGTTGAGTCTATGGGTAGTGTTAGGCTATGGGTAGTGTTAGTCTATGGGCAGTGTTAGTCTATGGGTAGTGTTGAGTCTATGGGTAGTGTTGGTCTATGGGTAGTGTTAGTCTATGGGTAGTGTTAGTCTATGAGTAGTGTTGGTCTATGGGTAGTGTTAGTCTATGGGTAGTGTTAGTCTATGGGCAGTGTTAGTCTATGGGTAGTGTTGGTCTATGGGTAGTGTTAGTCTATGGGTAGTGTTGAGTCTATGGGTAGTGTTGAGTCTATGGGCAGTGTTAGTCTATGGGTAGTGTTGAGCCTATGGGTAGTGTTAGTCTATGGGTAGTGTTGAGTCTATGGGTACTGTTGAGTCTATGTGCAGTGATGAGTCTATGGGTAGTGTTAGTCTATGTTTAACTTCTTTAGCACCGTACATAGCCAGCATGGCAATCAGATTAGCAGCCAGAGCCACAGTCACCAATGTACATTTGGCAGCCAATACCCAGAACACTTTAACGGAATCACTTGTGAGATGAGGGTTCACGATTCTCGATTTGTGTTGAGGACACACGTTACTATAGTAACAATTATTTTTAACATTTTATTGTACGGCACAACAACAGCTTTAACTGCGCTGATTGTCCTGTCCCCACGCCCCGGATTGGTGCGGTTGGCAACATACGGTGCAAAAGACGGTCAACATAATTCGTACTCCACGAAACACTACAACACACAACACTACTATATAAGACACCACGATACTGAATTGAAAACTCTTTACAACCGCTTAATGCGTTTAGTTTATTGTCCTTCCCCCGCACCTCCAATAAGCACGGTTGCCTGCGTACGGCGCGAAAGAATTTCAACACACGTACGTACGTAGGTACGATCGCCGTGAATACACGGCACGCTCGTGACGTGATGGCGCGATAGGCGGAGTCGCCACTATCGCACTGCCTTCGTTGGCGATTGGGCTACTGGGTATAGCAACTTGTCTCCGCTAATTGTCACTGCGAGTGTCCACCAATGGAACGTCGTGCGCGAACCGGCTTCACTAGTTGAACCACTTGCTTTCGTTACGAACGCCCGACGTATGAACATCCGCACGTACGAACGAGCTTCCGTAAAAAACTGGCACTTGCGAATCGAACCGCGGGACTTTTTGGTTCGGCAAATGTACAAATGCGCAATATTTCTTCTCACATATGAGCTGAACGATGGTTCCCTTTTTTGTTGGACCGTACCAGACCTTATAACACTGACTGTACGTGCATTTAAATACGGTGCACATTCCTAGATTTGAAGCTTTCGTGACTGCAAGGATCCATACTCTTTGGTTCTATTCGGTAAAGTCACGTAGGTAAAAAATAAAATAACAAAACAATTATCACGACGTTTCGGCCACAACACAAGTGGCCTTCCGGTCCCTTCACCTGATGAAGGCCACTTGTGTTTTGGCCGAAACGTCGTGATAATTTTTTTGTTATTTTATTTTTTACTACGTGACTTTACCGAATAGAACCAAAGAGTACGGTGCACATTGTCGCGTTCGTCCGCTCTGGTCTGATTCTGCCGCCACTTTGTCACCCCATGCCCTCACCACCCCCCCCCCATGCCCCTCCCCATACCCCCACCGCCCCCATGCCCCCCCTATGCACCCCCCCCCCCCCGCGCCACCCAGTGCTCATCTGCATCATCAACTCGGTGAGCGTGAAACTGGCCTCGTACGTCCAGAACTTCTTCACCGTCGCCAAGCTGCTGATCGTGGTCGTCATCATCGTCACAGGCATCGTGCTGCTTGCCCAGGGTGAGCGGTCGACAGGGGTGGAGGGGGCCGCACGACGCCGACAAACGCAACGCGGCCGAGATTTAAAAACTACGATGAAAATTTTTTTTTTACCTTGTCAGGTAAGGCCCACTGAGGTCTTTTTCAGAAGCGACCTGGCTATCGCAAATGTTAGCTCAACGGTGTGGCTTATCGTCACGTGGCACTTTCTAGCAGCCAGATAATCTCAACGCGTGACGTTGATTCTAAATGTGGAGGGGAAAACTGAAGGACGCGGAGAAAAGTCCACGCGACAACAATGAGATAACACGCAAACTCCAAATATACAGCAGGCGTAAGGGTCGGGATCGAACCCACGACCTCCTGTACACCAGGCGAGGTAGTTAACATCTCCTAGCCACCGTGATGATGAGAGAGAGACACACAAACTCCAAATATACAGCAGCAGGCGTAAGGGTCAGGATCGAACCCACGACCTCCTGTATACCAGGCGAGGTAGTTAACATCTCATAGCCACCGTGATGATGATGAGAGAGACACGCAACTCCAAATATACAGCAGCAGGCGTAAGGGTCGGGAGCGAACCCACGACCTCCTGCATACCAGGCGAGGGACTTGCCATCTCCTAGCCACCGTGATGATGAGAAAGAGACATGCAAACTCCAAATATACAGCAGGCGTAAGGGTCAGGAGCGAACCCACGACCTCCTGTATACCAAGCGAGGTAGTTAATATCTCGCCATGTTATTTGTGAGCTGAGCATTTCAAACCCACGAGTTTGAAGAGTCAAAAGAATTGGCTTTGTGTCCTTTCCCTTCGGCTAGATCTCCTCTCCACGCATAAGGTGCCGATATAGTTTTGCTTAACGACACTGAGGATGTCCGATCGTCCGTCTGACTCTCCATCCAACCGCCGTCGTTCCATCTGATCCATCGTGATTATATTGAGTATTTGGCAACTGCTATACGTTTCCACATGATCATGATAACGATAAGCCACTTGGTTTAGCTATAATTTGTGGCCAGGTCGCTTCTGAAAAAGAAACTGATTAGCTCGGTGGGCTTTACCTGGTAAGATAAAAACAATTGTTTAGTTGTATTTGTATATATTTCTTAAATGCTTTCATTACCCTGCCTACACTTTGCACTCCTATCGTGTGTTTGTATTTTATGTTGTTGTAACGTTCTTACCCGCCCCTTCTGGACATCTGTGAGAAAGAGCTTTATAGCTCATCGGATTCCTCCTACAGTGTAAATAAATATTCTGATTCTGATCTGATTGTCCATTTTGGCCGGCCGTCCGGTCGTCTGTCAGCCTGGACCATTGGACAGCATCAGCCTCTCAATCCAACCCATCATGACCAGCATGATGCTGATGATGACTCAGCTCATCATCACCATCATGACCACTCGACGTTCGATCGCCTGTGCAATTATCTGCAGGACAATCCGGAGCAAATCTCCGACCATCCAACCTAAGAAACGCGTGCCATCACATGGGCCTCGCCCCCCCCCCACTCCCCTTCTTCGCCCCGGCCCCTCCCCCCACGGTGTTAACCCACCACCCCCGCCCCCCTGCCCCCCAGCCTCAAGTCAACCGGTTCAATCCCCCAGCTCCACCCCGCACAATTGGGAACATTGCCAAATCGGGGGTCGCTATCTGCTTGGGGAGATACTTGTTCGGTGCCCCAGGTGCACGGTGTGCGTCGCTAATTATAACCCGAATCTTTATGTCCGTGCCATTAAAGATAATGGTGCGGGTGAGCGTGGTGGAAGAGAGACATTCGGGTTTGAGTGCCTCGTAATTTCCTGCATGACAGCGGTGCGACGTTTCACATCAACGACGACGAACGTCCATAGACATGCAACCTCCATTCCAGCCACGCACTCTCCCGCCTCTCCCCTCTCATCTCACAGAGGGATACTGGGCCGTCGTAGACCTGTGTATACGCGTAAGTGGGTATCTCGCAGAGATAGATGATAGGGCATAGGCGGGAGAGTGCGTGGAGGGGAGTAGAGTGAGATGAGAGGGGAGAGACAGGAGAGTGCGTGGAGGGGAGTAGAGTGAGATGAGAGGGGAGAGGCAGGTGAGTGCGTGGAGGGGAATAGAGCGAGATGAGAGGGGAGAGGCAGGAGAGTGAGTGGATGGATTGTAGTATTGGGGTGATGACACCCCAGGCACCACCGAAGCTTGTACATTATTACAAACTAAAAACTCAACTATTTTATTTTACCAGATAAGGCTCATTGAGTTATATAGCTCTTTTTCAGAAGCGACATTGCCACAAATGATAGCTCAACTAAGTGGCTTATCACGTTGACATTTATAGCAGCCAAATACTCAAAATGCATGTTCATTCTAAATGTGGAGGGAAAACTGGAGGACCTGGAGAAAAGTCCACGTGACCGGGGGGGAGAGAGTGAGAGACACACAAACTCCACATATACAGCAGGCGTCAGGGTGGGGATCGGACCCACGACCTCCTGCAAACCTGGCGAGGTAGTTAACATCTCCTAGCCACCGCGGCGTCCTTATTATAGCAAGCGGTGGGCGAAGCCTCGGCAAGATAGAAATGATGGTGCCCATTGTATCGGCTCTGGAGGGCCACACGATGAAAGCGGTACGAACTTGTAATCTGACCCGCAGATAAAGCGCACGTTGATCCGGCCCCGCGAGATGTGCCGGTCATTGCCACAGCTTTGAGGAGTTCGTCGTAAAGAGTCCCGTGGGGTGGGGGTAGGCAGCGGACCCCGGCATCACGCGGTGACACCGTGATCCCGGTGATTTACGGCGCAATAATGGCGGCGGTGGCACGCGGTCTAAAAAAAAAAAGGACACGGGGTCAGCACGCTCATACGGACACACACGGACACACACGGCACACACGCTCACACGGACACACACGGCACACACGCTCACACGGACACACACGCTCACACGGACACACACGGCACGCACGCTCACACGGACACACACGCTCACACGGACACACACGGCACGCACGCTCACACGGACACACACGCTCACACGGACACACACGGACACACACGGACACACACGGCACGCACGCTCACACGGACACACACGGCACACACGCTCACACGGACACACACGCTCACACGGACACACACGCTCACACGGACACACACGGATACACACGGCACGCACGCTCACACGGACACACACGGATACACACGGCACGTATGCTCACACGGACACACATGCTCAAACGGGGACACACACACACACTTGTGCGTGCAAAGACTGAGACATAGATCAACAGTGGAGCTGTTAGCAGTGTGTTTGAGAAAGTGGTGTTGTGAGCATCTCTGATGAGCACAGTTGGCTGCGCATGGTGCGAAAGAAGCATGAAAATCTGAATATTTATTTAGACATATACACCTGTTAAGGCTGACATCGCACCTGAGGGGCTGGGTGGCCAGCACCACACCCAGCCGCCTTTATCGCCCTCCGGTCGCTAAACTAATGCCTTATATGGTCGCGCTCATTACACACAAAGTGCTTGCCACAAATGAACCACAATGCCTTGCTGATCTTGTCAAGCAGCATAAACTACCATCACGCAAACTCCGGTCATCATCGCAGTGGTGGCTTTTGGCAAACCATCAAACAAAGACGGTCACCCAATTGCGCACTTTCATAAGTGCTTCTGCGGCCGTCTGGAACGCTCTTTCGATATTAGGAAGCCACTGGAGCTATACACTTTTAAATCGTCGTCGAGATTGACAAACTCATTTCTTGAGAGCGGATTTTAGTGTTTGGTTTGTTGTCCTTCCCCCGCACCTCTGATTTGCACGGTTGGCTACGTACGGTGAAAAAGAAGTTCAACATACATACAACATACGTACTACATACAACGTACATACTGCCACCGCTCCCACGCTCTACGATCGAGCAGTTCACTCAGGAAAGTGGCCAAGTTGAACAGCGCGTGCATTCACAGTCGTGACCGAAATCCAACTTTGCTCGAAGTAAACATTCGACTTACGGAACCTGGCTCGCCCTCTTGTCGACCCGCTGCTGGAATCCGTCGCGGGGGGCCTTGACGGACTATACTTCACCACGCTGGGCGTCACGGAGGGGGCTCGCCGATCGTTTCGTTGTCTTCAGGAGGCTCCCGGTTCTTCCCCCCCCCCCGCCCCACCACAGGACACACGACGAATCTCCAGAACAGCTTTGAAGGACAACAGATATCGTTCGGCTCAATCGGGGTCGCCTTCTACAATGGCCTGTGGGCCTACGACGGCTGGTGAGCGAGCCCCTCGTGTGCCGCACCGCTGGTGCCGCCGGCGGGCTTGACGGCAGCGGCACAAAGCGGCGTGGCGGGGAAATCCGTCGCCCGCTTGGGCGGCCACGGTGGTAACGCTCGTGCCTGGGTGGCTAGGAGATGTTGACCACCTCGCTTGGGATGCAGGAGGTCGTGGGTACGATGGCGACTCTGACTGCCTGTATATTTGGAGTTTCCGTGTCTCTCTCGTTCTCTCTCCCCGTGGCCGCGTGGATTTTTCTCCGGGTCCTCCGGTTTTTTCCCTCCACGTTTAGAATGAACATCGCGCGTTTAGAGTATTTGGTTGAGCTATCATTTGTGGCCAGGTTACTTCTGAAAAAGAGCTACATAGCTCAGTGGGCCTTATCTGGTAGAATGACAATAGTTTTGTTGCGTAGTTTCGTTTTTGTACATTCTCTCCACCGTTTTACAGAGAGTGACGGAGTGTGTGTCACTGAGCAGTAGGGAGCGGTGGTGCAGCGGTTAGCGCTCTGCGCTACGAACCCAGCGTCCCGAGTTCGATTTCCGGTCACGGCCACCAACACCGGTGACAATTATCTGAACCGCTCCTGGTCCTCCCCTAGGTCGACTCAGCCTCAAACAAGTACCTGTGTAAAAACATCGCCACTAGTGAGACAAAGGCAACCGGGCGTGGTGCTGGCCACCCACTCCCTTGTGTGTCGTGCTACTCACTAACAGCACTTGCCCCAAAAATCTGTTAAGACTATAAGGGGGATATTTGTCTTTGTTTGATTGTCAGTGAGCACAACGTATCGGCTGTAAGAGCCTGTTTAAGGCTTTAACAGCCAGTTAAAGGCAATACGGGGATCTATTTGTTGTCGGTGACCGAGTGCGCGATGGAGTGGACTTTGTATGTTCTCCCCCTGTTCTGGGTTCTCCCCCTTCCCTCCCAACGTTAACAAAACCACACAGTGTAACTGCTGAGAAATATTCATAGGGTTTACCCTTTCTGGCACTAAAGCAGTTGTGTTTAGATGTTCAAACACCAAATAGATTATACCTTTTGCAAGGAATCAAGTTCGCATTAGCCACACGTATTTGTGGTGAACATGCAAACAAACATACACTTATTGCCAGAAAGGGTAAAAACCTATTCTAATTATTCTTATTTTTCATACTTTGATACTAGCAAACAGGTATCCCATGACATAGCTGCTCACCGCGAGCTCTAAATGCCCTCACGCGTGTGGCATTGTCCTTGTGCTGTTCGCCTTTAGGCGCTGTTCTCTGTCTGACACTGGTGGTGAGACGAGGCCCTGAAGAAGGCCGCTGTCTCTGGTGTAGACAAATCAGTTTCAAAGACAATGATCAGCACTCACGAGTTGGTCGATAGCACCTTGGAAGGATTGCAGAGCTTAGGCCAGGGGTGGGGAACATTTTTTCTGCCAAGGGCCATTTGGATATTTATAACATCATTAGCGGGCCATACATAAATGATCAACTTAAAAATTAGCCTGTTATATTTGGTCAAACATTTACTTAACTCACCCCTAATGTGATGGCTGGAACTGCTTCTTTTTGGTGAGGCATGTGGTGGTGTTAGCTGATGTTGATGATGTTGCTGCTACTCGCAACTGCTTCTCCAGGTTTGCTCCTAGATTTATTGAATTTCGAGTCCCGCCTGCGGTTGCCTTGGCAGGGCCACACCAAATGATTTCGTGGGCCTCATACAGCCCGTGGGCCAGACGTTCCCCACCCCTGGCTTAGGCAATTGCTGGCATCTGCTCACCGCGTGGCTACTGTGGTTCATCCTCGCACCTCTCAGTTGGTCCCCATCCTTCAGGCGCCACGGTGGCTAGGAGATGTCATCTCCCTTGCCTGGTGTGCAGGAGGTCGTGGATTCGACCCCAACCCTGACGCCTGCTGTATATTTGTAGATTGCGTGTCTCTCTCCCCCGTTGTCGCGTCGATTGTTCTCTAGATCCTCCGGTTTTCCACTCCACATTTCGAATCAACGCCACGCGTTTTGAATATTTGGCTGCTATACGTTTCCATACGATGATGATGATGATGATAAGGTTTGGCTGCGACTATAAATTGCCACGTGATAAGCCACTCGGTTGAGCTATCATTTGTGATAGCCAGGTCGCTTCTCAAAACGAGCTGCACAACTCAGTGTATGGTGATGTTTGACGGTTTGGTGCACGTCGCGGCCTCTCGTGGCCGCAGGAATCATCACAGGCGACGACAACGACGACAAACCACTCGAATCGCTACTTTAAAAAAAAGACAAAACGTCGATTATCACACGGGCGGTTCCTTGCGCGAGAATCGCGGAGAGCTCGGAGATTGGGCACACGAAGTCTGTGCCCCGCCGTCTGTTGACGCTAAAAACGCAAGACGTGCGTCTGTCCCACAGGAACCAGCTGAACTTCGTGACCGAAGAGCTGAAGAATCCCTTCAGGTACAAAACGTGCCGTTGCTTTGTCTTCTTCTCATTCTTCTTCACGTGCGAAGACCTCGTGGTGACGTTTGCGGTGCTGGTGATTGAAAGACGCCGGCAGATTGTACTCCCAGAGAGTTCCTCTTGTACGCGGTGATGTGTGGGGACCAACATCCACGGGGCTTAGCCGCCAACTTACCACGCAGGAATACATTGCGGATAATCGTGGAGGAGGGGAACAATTTCCCACTCGGCTCCTCTTCTTCGCAAGAAAATGCACAGAGTACTGTGAAGCCATCCCACGGTGAGCAGCGGGTGTCTTTACTGAAGAGGGGGAGAACAGCTTGATGATCAGAGTCGTTTTAAAGCTTTCGTGACTGCAGGGATTCATCTTCTTGGTTCTTTCGGTAAAGTAACGTAGAAGGGAAATAATGAAATAATAAAAATAACACATAATAAAATACAATTCTCACGACGTTTCGGCCACAACGCAAGCAGCCGTCCTCAGGTGAAGAAACAGAACTGTCAGAAAGACAGCGTCCTAATGAACACTGCTAAGCTTGGCAGCGTATTTTAAGCTGGGTGGGAGGAGGAGAGCGCCTTGACAAAGGAGTTTACATATCAACAGATATATCAACAGATATGTGAACTCCTTTGTCAAGGCTCTCTCCTCCTCCCACCCAGCTTAAAATACGCTGCCAAGCTTATTATTTCCCTTCTACGTGACTTTACTGAAAGAACCAAGAAGATCATAGTCGTCTTTCGCGGACCCAACGGCGTCTGCGGAAAATAGGAATCACGCGTAACATGGTAACGGATAAGAGGAGTTTCTTCTGCAATCTACAACGGTCGTATAGAATAGCGACATTTACAGGCGTAGACTGAGTTTATATAACCAGTAAATAACATTATAGTGGATCGGGATCTAACCCGCGACTTCCTGTATACTAGGCGAGGTAGTTAACATCTCATAGCCACCGTGGTGCCCACGTCAATGCTATCGTGTGTGTGGGTGGTAGCGTAGTGGTTTGCATGTTGCTTTCGAACCCGGCGACCCCAGTTCAATTCCCACTCATGGCCAACACCAGTGACGATGAAATCTGAATTACTCATTGGCCTCCCCTAGGTCGACTCGAGCCTCAGACGGGTCCCGGGTGTGCTGTATAAACATCGCCACTGGGGAGACAAAGGCAGCCGGGCGTGGTGCCGGCCACCCACCCTCTCGTGTGCCGTGCCGGCCTTCATAGCTTCTGCTCGCTAACCGCACTTGCCCCAGCAGCCTGTTGACGCTATCCGGGGGATTCTCTGTCCGCCGTGGATGTGCGCCGTAGAAACCTGCCTCTGTCCATCATCATCGGCATTCCGTTCGTCACCGTGTGCTACATCCTCATGAACATCGCCTACCTCACCACCATGACGGCCATCGAGCTGCTGCAGTCGCCCGCCGTCGCCGTCGTGAGTGTCCCCCCAGCGCCATCCCTCCTGCTGCACCACCACCACCACCACCCTCACGTCGGTCCAGACCCACACGTGGACATAACGCTCGTTACCCCGTTGCTCCGCCGGCGCGTGTCACCACCACCACCACCACCACCCGATCTGTCACCAGACGTTTGCTGACCGCACGCTGGGCGTCATGTCCTGGATCGTGCCGCTGGCGGTCGCCTTCTCCACGTTCGGCGCTGCCAACGGATCGTGCTTCACGGCCGGACGGTAACCGTCACCACCGCCGCCACCACCGCCGCCACCGCCAGAATCAGAATGTCTAATGATCCTGGGGAAAAAATACGATGAGCTGTGAAGCTCTTTTTCAAAACCGCCGCTCGCCAACGCAACCACCGCCTGCACCACGCAACCACCCACCGGACGCACCACAGATGCCAGACAGCAGGCAACCACGTGCACCACACACACTATGCCGGACTCAACGGGGATTATTAATCATTACGGGAACGTAACGCTGGCACCACTTTCCCCAAACACACTGCCGAGGCTACACGGGGGTTCTTTGTCTTTGTGTAGGCTGACCTACGTGGCGGCGCGCGAGGGTCACATGCTCGAGGTTCTGTCGTTCATCAACGTGCGGCGCCTCACCCCGTCGCCCGCCATCGTCTTCAACGTGAGTGCCCCTGTCTCTTGCCGTGGAAGAGTCCCGGCTACGCGCACGTGTACCTGTGTGTGTGTGTCTGTGTGTGTCTGTGTGTGTGTCTGTGTGTGTGTGTGTGTGTCTGTGTGTGTGTGTCTGTGTGTGTGTGTCTGTGTGTGTCTGTGTCTGTGTGTGTCTGTGTGTGTCTGTGTGTGTCTGTGTGTGTGTCTGTTTGTGTCTGTGTTGTTGTGTGTCTGTGTGTGTCTGTGTGTGTCTGTGTGTGTGTGTCTGTGTGTGTGTCTGTGTGTGTGTGTGTCTGTGTGTGTGTGTCTGTGTGTGTGTGTCTGTGTGTGTGTCTGTGTGTCTGTGTGTCTGTGTGTGTGTCTTGTGTGTGTATCCAGTTTAACAGCAGAGATCTCACTCCGAATCAGTCGAGCGGCAATATCTTTTCATCGGTTGCGTAACGCTGTGTGGAAGCTACCTGGTCTGTCGCTCCGCACTAAGCTTCAGGTCTTCTCGGCCACGGTCATTCCCTCCCTTCTCTACGCTTGCGAAACGTGGACCCCCCCTAATGAAACATCTTTGCCGGTTAGAAACATTTAGGCTAGCCTGCCTACGATCCTTCCTGGGTTTAACCAGGCTGGATTGTGTGAGGAGCTCACAAATCCTTGAAAGATCTGGGCAAGGTCCCATCGGTGAGCTCCTCCGGCAAGCAAGGCTGCGTTGGCTGGGTCATGTAGCCCGCATGCCCAGCCACCGCATGCCGAAACAGCTTTTGTTCGGCCGGGTCGAGGGGGCTAAACGGGCGCGGCACGGGCTAGAGAAGAGATGGAGTGATGTGGTACAGGAAGACGTGGAGCTGAGTGGACTTGCCGATGACTGGTACCAGCGGTGTCAAGATCGGCCTCTGTGGAGGAGGCTCGTGAAGGACGCTATTGGGCAGTTGGAGGCAGTCGCCCTCCAACAACAATGGAGGGCGGAGGAGCGACGCTCACAACAACGAGCGGAGTGCCGGGTGGCTAAAGCACAGCAGGTTGGCACAGTAGGGGACACAGGTGGTGCATCAGCCAGTCATCTCAGTCATCTTAGTCAGTCGACCCGTGGCACTTGGGTCTGCCCCGTGACCTCCTGCCAGCGGGCGTTCGACACTTCACGTGGCCTCAAGGTGCAGATGGCCTGGCACAAGCATCGTGGTGACGTCACCGCCACTTAGTGGCGATTGGCGGTTGTTGTTATTGGGGGAGTGGTATTGGTGGTGGTTAGCGCGACGCTGCGCCATGAACCCGGCGACCCGATCTCTATTCCCGCTCACGGCCAACACCTGTGTCGATTATGTGAACCGGTCCTGGGCCTGCCCTAAGTCGAGTACCTGGTGCGGTGTGTCAACAACGCCGCTGGGGAGACAAAGGCGGCCGGGGCGTGGCTCAGGCCACACCACGTCCATGTGCTTGCGTCTCTGTTTTTCTCTCTCGACCTTCGTCGCTTCTCGTTCACTTTTCTCTCTCTTGTCACCAACAGGGCATCCTGGCGATAATTTACATCATCCCAGCGGACATCAACACGCTCATCAACTTCTTCAGCTTCGCCGTGTGGATCTTCTACGGCCTCACCATGCTCTCCTTCATCGTGATGCGCTTCACTCGCAAGGAGCTTCATCGACCCGTCAGGGCAAGTACCCCTGGGGCCCCCACCAATCACCACCGCTCACCACCGCTCCCCACTGCTACACTAAACTCCACTCCCCAACACTCTCTACCGCTCCTCACAGCCAGTCCTGAACTCCCCAACACTTTCCACCACTCCCCACAGCCAGCCCTGAACTCCCCAACACTCTCCACCGCTCCTCACAGCCAGCCCTGAACTCCCCAACACTCTCGACCGCTCCTCACAGCCAGCCCTGAACTCCCCCAACACTCTCCACCACTCCCCACAGCCAGCCCTGAACTCCCCAACACTCTCCACCACTCCCCACAGCCAGCCCTGAACTCCCCAACACTCTCCACCACTCCTCACAGCCAGCCCTGAACTCCCCAACACTCTCCACCACTCCCCACAGCCAGCCCTGAACTCCCCAACACTCTCCACCGCTCCTCACAGCCAGCCCTGAACTCCCCCAACACTCTCCACCACTCCCCACAGCCAGCCCTGAACTCCCCAACACTCTCCACCGCTCCCCACAGCCAGCCCTGAACTCCCCAACACTTTCCACCACTCCCCACAGCCAGCCCTGAACTCCCCAACACTTTCCACCACTCCCCACATCCAGCCCTGAACTCCCCAACACTCTCCACCGCTCCCCACAGCCAGCCCTGAACTCCCCAACACTCTCCACCACTCCCCACAGCCAGCCCTGAACTCCCCAACACTCTCCACCACTCCCCACAGCCAGCCCTGAACTCCCAAACACTCTCCACCACTCCCCACAGCCAGCCCTGAACTCCCCAACACTCTCCACCACTCCCCACAGCCAGCCCTGAACTCCCCAACACTCTCCACCACTCCCCACAGCCAGCCCTGAACTCCCCAACACTCTCCACCACTCCTCACAGCCAGCCCTGAACTCCCCAACACTCTCCACCACTCCTCACAGCCAGCCCTGAACTCCCCAACACTCTCCACCACTCCTCACAGCCAGCCCTGAACTCCCCAACACTCTCCACCACTCCCCACAACCAGCCCTAAACTCCCCAACACTCTCCACCACTCCTCGCAGCCAGCCCTGAACTTCCCAACACTCTCCACCACTCCTCACAGCCAGCCCTGAACTCCCAAACACTCTCCACCACTCCCCACAGCCAGCCCTGAACTCCCCAACACTCTCCACCACTCCTCACAGCCAGCCCTGAACTCCCCAACACTCTCCACCACTCCCCACAGCCAGCCCTGAACTCCCCAACACTCTCTACCACTCCTCACAGCCAGCCCTGAACTCCCCAACACTCTCCACCACTCCCCACAGCCAGCCCTGAACTCCCCAACACTCTCCACCACTCCCCACAGCACCGCCCATGGTCTCTCTCCCCGTAGTCGCGTGGATTTCTCTCCGGGTCTTCTGGGTTTTCCATCCACATTTAGAATCAACGTCGCCACGCGTTTAGAGTCTTTAGCTGCTGCTGTAAATTTCCATACGATAAGCCACTTTGTTGAGCTATCATTTGTGATAGCCAGGTCGTTTCTGAAATAGAGCTACAAAGCTCAGTGGGCCTTACCTGGTAAAATAAAAAATAGTTTTAGTTTTAAAAGGCCCCCACAATGGCCTGGCTGCTTTGTCTCTCACGAACCAGAGGAGTCCTCGTGTTAGCATTTTGCCCCAAGGGGTGCCTCAGCCCCGGGCCTCTGGAAAGCCTCTGGGTGGCGGCACCCCCCCCCCCCAAGTAAATCTGGACACGTGAATAGAAAGACTCGCTCCGAAATCGCGATGCGATTTTTCAATTCTGTCGCGGTCCGCGCGCAGGTCCCCGTGGTGATCCCGGCGCTGGTGATGGTCGTGTCCGTGTACCTCGTTTTCGCGCCCATCATCGACCTGCCCGAATGGGAGTACCTCTACTGCGCCATCTTCATCCTGGGCGGTCTCATCTTCTACCTGCCCTTCGTCCACTTCAAGCTGAAGATCGGATTCATATGTGAGTTTGGAGCAGGCAAAGTGGGGGGTGGGGGAGGGGAGGTACGGAAGGGCCGAGCAGCGGGCACTTGAATGCTGATCGCACCTCTGAGTCCTTGATCGAACAATGCGTCCAAAATTGTGCGTGGTGCCACGGTGGCTATGAGATGTTAACTACCTCACCTGGTAACACGGAGATCGCGGGTTCGATCCCGACCCTGACGACTGTTGTATATTTGGAGTTTGCGTGTCTCTCTTTCTCTACCCGTGGTCGCGTGGATTTTATCTCGAGGACCTCCGGTTTTTCCCTCCACATTTAGAATCAACATTACGCGTTTAGAGCATTTGGCTGCTTTACTTTTCTACATGATAAGCCACTTCGTTGAGCTGTCATTTGTGGCCAGGTTGCTTTTGAAAAAGAGCTACACAGCTCAGTGTGCTTTAACTGGTAAATAAAAAATAGTTGGGGAAATGTATAGCAGCCAAATACTCTAAACGTGTGATGTTGATTCTAAATGTGGAGGGAAAAACCGGAGGACCTGGAGATAAAATTCACGTGACCATGGGGAGAGAGAGAGGTGCAAACTCCAAATATACAGGAAACGAGGTTGGGATTGAACCCACATCCTCCTGTATACCATGCGAGGTAGTTAACATCTCGCCACCATGGCGATCTAATTGTGGTGTACCCACTTAATTGTGGCGATCATGGTGGTCACGTGTGGTGGGATAGATTAACCCTCTGGCCGCCGCCGCAGGCTATACAGGAGACCTCTGCCTCTTCCCTTTCTCTTCCCCGCAGCAACGCTGACCAAGCACATGCAGCTGCTGCTGGAGGTGTCCCCCCCGGAGCAGTCCCCCGAGTGAGCGGCGCGACACCCGCAGCGGCCTCCGCTGTCTCCACGGCTGCCCCCCAATGTCGTGGCCGCTTGGAGCAGGGCCCACCAGCTGCCGAGGTCACCGCCCACCCACGACGACCACCGCCGCTCGCCACCACGACCGTTCGGGTCGCCACCTGTGCTGATTTTCCCAGGAGCGTCCGTCTTCTTTTCGAGGCAGCTGCTGTCCCAGGAAATCTGTAAATCTTTCCGGGACGTTAAAGAACCGTTCTTCTTCAGTGACGTAACAACAGCAATATGAGTAATACACCACTGCGAGACGATGCCTTTGCGTGTGGTTCTCCACTCTTCCGCTACTGTGAGATATTCTTCTGCCCATGATTAGTCCTCGTTTTGTTTGTACCTCAGAGGAGGTGACCCGTGGGCCACACCGACTCCACCAGCCGTGGCTTCACCAGCCCAGGTTTACATTTTGCGACGCCGCGCGGAGACAATGAAACTCAGCTTCCGGGTGTGCGTGCACCATTAAAAAAAAAAACGATTAAACTACTTTGTTTGTTTGACCAGGTAAGGCCCACTGAGCTACGTAGCTCTTTTTCAGAAGCGACCTGGCTATCACTAGTGATAGCTCAACGAAAGTGGCTTATCGCGTGGACGTTTATAGCAGCCAGATACTTTAAACGCGTGACGTTGATTCTAAACGTGGAGGGAAAACCCGGAAGGCCTGGGCAGAAATCCACGCGACCACGGGAAGAGAGACGCCGACTCCAAATATACATCAGGGTCGGGATCGAACCCACAACCTCCTGTATTCCAGGCGAGGTAGTTAACATCTCATAGCCACCGTGCCGTCCCGGAATAAAATCACGCAAATTGCCACGATTCCAAGGTGTGCCTCGTTTAGCTTAAAGGTGACGGCTCAGTACACATACCACAACATTGGCCCAACAATGTTCCACGTTTATGTGGGGGAGTGCCTGTTCCTTTCACGCACGATGCCCCACGGAGCCTCGCATCGTCACGAATGGTTTAACGATTGCCGACGGTGGCAATGATGGCGAGTTAAAATTACACAGTCCGTCATTTTTCACGTGCATCGTTCTCCAAATGTAATTTCTTTATTTGTTTCCGCAGAGGGCAGCATTTAAAAGTAAATAGTCGAGCTCGAAATGCATTGTGGAATCTGGGGTGTTGCGCAACGTTGGGTTAGCGAACGAGATTTGGGTGATATTTAAAAGTTGAATTTGTCCCCGGAAGCAAGAGAAAATACTTTGTACGATGTTGAGAAAAAAAATTGTATACAGTAACATGCGTGAATAAAGTACACATTAAATTAAAAACAGCCATGTGGATCTACCTCAGTATTTACAAACGGTGTTTTCGGTATTTTTTTTTTCCTTCGTCAATGCCTGGATCTGAATTGAGGATCTCAGTGGTGGCCACTCTGGAATGTGCTGCGTCCACCGCTGAGGTCGCTGCTGTTGACTCACGGCGAGGAATTGAGGTGCGGAGTGCCGTAGTCGGCGGCTTTTCAACTCAAAAGTTGTTGGAATGTGAAATCATGCGAGCGCTTGGTCAGAGCACTGAAGTACAGTGGTTTCGTTCTTGCAAATGATACGTACGTGTGTGTATGTTGAACTTCTTTCGTACCGTACGTAGCCAACCGCGCTCAACGGAGGTGCAGGGGAAGGACAACAAACTAACCACAGAAATCAGCTCTAAAGAAATTAGTTTGCCATTCTCGATTGTTTAAAAGTGCAAAGCTCCAATGGCTTCCTCATGTCGGAAGGAAGAGCGTTCGAGACGGCCGCAGGAGCGCGAGTCGATGGTCTCTGCTCGTCCGCCAATGACTCACACGGAGCCTCGTGGGGTCCACCGTCGACTGAGTCTCAGCTGCTGAGAGTCGACGGGCTCAGATGGGTAAGCAATGACTGCACGAAGGAATTACCGTATTATAATCATGTATTGCACTTAATATGGATAAATAATAGGTCTGTGAAGTTCAAATATATTGGCTCGACTGGCATGTTATCAGGTCGCACTCATTAAACACAAAGCGCTTGCCATAAATGAGCCACAACACCGCGCTGATCTATTCCAGGAGCATGAACCACCATCACGCAAACTCCCATCACCCTCACAGCAGCAGCAGCGGCTTCTGGCTCACCGTCAGACAAAGACGGTCACTGCATCGCGTGCTTTCAGATGCGTTTTTACGGCCGTCTGGAATGCTCTTCCTTCTGATATCGGGAAGGCGCTGGAGGCATGGAGCGATGCACTTTTAAATAATTTAGATTGCAATCTCATTTCTTTAGAACTTCGTTTTGTGTTTAGTATGCTGTCCTTCCCCCGCACCTCCGAATAGCACGGTTGGCTACGTACGGTGCGAAAGAAGTTTAACATACATACGTGTGACAATCTATCTCGTAGCAGACTGCGAGAGAATGTGTGCCCCCTAGTGTGTAAAGATAAAGAGGTCAAGTCAAGTTCCCGGTTTTTAATAAGAAGTGCTTTGAACATCTCCTGCCCAGCCGTTCCGTAGCACTCAGGGTTATACGCACTGCTTGATGAGAGCTAAGCATGGGAAGCGAATTCAACTTTTGACGAGACGAAAAGGAATGATGGGGGAATAGAGGGCCTGAAAAAAGGGTATTTTGGCCAACTCTTGCACGCTGGCCAGCCATCATGGACAGGTAGGAGTTACCCACACTTTACCCCCCCACCACCACACGTGACCTGCCCATCAAGTGTGGTGTACACCACAATTTTACACGGCTGGATGGACAAGAGGCAGGGGGGGGGGGAGATTTGCTCAATGTGCGTTTTAATTTCAACTGCCAACACTAGGGAATCAGGTCCAGTGCGCTAACCATTACACCATGGCAACACCACAACACCTCAATACCTCATCCGTCAGCCATGGTTCAATCCACTGCTGGATGTTGGTCTCCCCCAAGCTGCGGTAACACCAGGTGCGTTGGATTTCTTTCGCACCGTACTTAGCCACCCGCGCGAATCGGAGGTGCGATGAGCACGACTGTGAAAGCGATCATCGCACCTCGTCACGGTTGACGTTTTCGAAAAATCTAAAAAAAAACAATATCAAAACAACAAAAACGGTATCAGAACGGCGCTGTGTCACGGAGGCGCTCCTCGAATGTTTTTCCAGATTTATTTTGTTTTCGGATGTCGAAATTTTTCCTCCCCAGAATAAAATAGCGGCGCTGCAGCGGCGGCGGCGGCGGCGGCGGCTGTTGGATGGGGGCCAAAACCGCGCAGCCTGAAACTCAAAACCCCGCGCCGACAACATCGCTCTGAGCGCGGCCACAGCGGATGTTTGTCCGCCCCTCACCCCCCGCGGTTCTGTGCCCTCGTTTGTAACGTCGCAGCCAGAGGGGGGAGGGGTAGAGGAGGCGATCTTCTTATTTTAGTATGGCAGATGTAGATGCAGAGCACCAACTACAATGTCAAATTTGTAGATAAAATATACTTTGTATTTTACCAGGTAAGGCCAACCCACTGAGTTGCATTGCTCTTTTTCATAAGCGACCTGGCTCTCACAAATGATAGCTCAACAAAGTGGCTTATCATCAACGTGGACATTTATAACAGCAGCCAAATACCTTAAACGCGTGGTGATGTCCATTCTACATGTGGAGGGGAAAACCGGAGGACCGGGAGAAAATCCCACGCGACCACGGGGAGAGAGACACGCAAACTCCAAATATACAGCAGCAGGCATCAGGGTCAGGATCTGACCCACGACCTCCTGTATACCAGGCGAGGTAGTCAACATCTCCTAGCCACTGTGATGATGATGAGAGAGAGAGACACGCAAACTCCAAATATACAGCAGCAGGCGTCAGGGTCAGGATCTGACCCACGACCTCCTGTATACCAGGCGAGGTAGTTAACATCTCCTCGCCACCATTGCGTCCACATTCAGGTGATCAAGCCAACAAATCTGCGTCAGGAGTAGCGGAGTGTATCGCTCTGCTGTCTGCTTCGTACTTGTGGATCGGGGCATTGCGTCGCTAGACTTGGCACGGTCTCGGTTCTGGATGACCACAGTGGCACCGCTACCACTGGAGGGCTTTTTAACTTTCAATTTGTGCACCAGGGTATCCCACATCTGCTGCTGCTAGATCAAAGCCCAGGGATCTTCTGCTTGCGTTGGGTCGATCACAACAGGGCGGTGCTTGCGAGTTCTTGTGAACTCCATTCAGCTGTCCGAGCTGCATCGGGGGTTGAACTCAAGTGCGAAAGAAATACGGGTTCACAAACCCACGCGCAGCGATGCCATTGCCCAGCCAACTCGCAGCTCGCGGCAAAACACACAAAAGGGCTCGGAGACATCGTGCGGTTGATGAAAAAAATATAAACACGCTTAGCCGTGACCGTCCAACATTGCACGTGACGCGGGGTCACAGAGGGAGACATCACGGCATGTGACGCCCACGTGGTAACGCTCAGCCGCGCCGTGCCAGGCGAATGCAGAGTCGGCGTCTCACGCAGCCGTTCCCCAGAAGCCCTTCCCCAGAAGCCCTTCCCCAGAATCCCTTCCCCAGAAGCCCTTCCCCAGAATCCCTTCCCCAGAAGCCTCCTCGCACGGGACGGAGCCGACAGCGGCCGCTCGCCGTCCACAACCCCCTGCCAGCAACAGCTGGGGGCAGAGCGACTCGCACGGCGCCAGCCACGGGCGGTGAGGAGCGATGCCGACGTGACGGTGAGGAGCTCATCACGTGGCTCACCACAGTCACCCTTACCAGCAGTCATCCTCACCACAGTCACTCTAACCCACAGTCACCTTCACCACAGTCACCCTCACCACAGTCACCCTCACCACAGTCACTCTAACCCACAGTCACTCTCACCACAGTCACCCTCACCACAGTCACCCTCACCCACAGTCACCCTCACCCACAGTCACTCTAACCCACAGTCACCCTCACCACAGTCACCCTCACCACAGTCACCCTCACCACAGTCACCCTCACCCACAGTCATCCTCACCACAGTCATTTTCACCCACAGTCACCCTCACCCACAGTCACTCTCACCACAGTCACCCTCACCCACAGTCACCCTCACCCCCAGTCATCCTCACCACAGTCACCCTCACCACAGTCACCCTCACCCACAGTCACCCTCACCCACAGTCACCCTCACCACAGTCACCCTCACCACAGTCACCCTCACCCACAGTCACCCTCACCCACAGTCACCCTCACCACAGTCACCCTCACCACAACCACCCTCACCACAGTCACCCTCACCACAACCACCCTCACCACAGTCACCCTCACCACAGTCACCCTCACCACAGTCACCCTCACCCACAGTCACCCTCACCACAGTCACCCTCACCACAGTCACCCTCACCCGCAGTCACCCTCACCACAGTCACCCTCACCACAACCACCCTCACCACAGTCACCCTCACCACAACCACCCTCACCACAGTCACCCTCACCACAGTCACCCTCACCACAGTCACCCTCACCCACAGTCACCCTCACCACAGTCACCCTCACCCACAGTCACTCTCACCCACAGTCACCCTCACCACAGTCACCCTCACCACAGTCACCCTCACCCCCAGTCATCCTCACCACAGTCACCCTCACCACAGTCACCCTCACCCACAGTCACCCTCACCCCCAGTCACCCTCACCACAGTCACCCTCACCACAGTCACCCTCACCCACAGTCACCCTCACCACAGTCACCCTCACCACAACCACCCTCACCACAGTCACCCTCACCACAGTCACCCTCACCACAGTCACCCTCACCACAGTCACCCTCACCCACAGTCACTCTCACCCACAGTCACCCTCACCACAGTCACCCTCACCACAGTCACTCTCACCCCCAGTCACCCTCACCATAGTCATCCTCACCCGCAGCCATCCTCACCCACAGCCACCCTCACCACAGTCACCCTCACCCACAGTCATACTCACCACAGTCACCCTCACCAGCAGCCACCCTCACCCGCAGCCACCCTCACCCACAGCCACTCTCACCAGCAGTCACCCACAGCCACCTTCACCCACAATCACCCTCACCCACAGTCACCCTCACCAGCAGTCACCCTCACCACAGTCACCCTCACCATAGTCACCCTCACCACAGTCACCCTCACCATAGTCACCCTCACCCACAGTCACCCTCACCAGCAGTCACCCTCACCCACAGTCACCCTCACCCCCAGTCACCCTCACCACAGTCACCCTCACCATAGTCACCCTCACCACAGTCACCCTCACCATAGTCACCCTCACCACAGTCACCCTCACCACAGTCACCCTCACCCACAGCCACTCTCTCCCACAGTCACCCTCACCAGCAGCCACCCTCACCCACAGTCACCCTCACCAGCAGTCACCCTCACCAGCAGCCACCCTCACCCACAGTCACCCTCACCAGCAGTCACCCTCACCCACAGCCACCCTCACCCACAGTCACCCTCACCAGCAGTCACCCTCACCCACAGCCACCCTCACCCACAGTCACCCTCACCAGCAGTCACCCTCACCAGCAGCCACCCTCACCCACAGTCACCCTCACCAGCAGTCACCCTCACCCACAGCCACCCTCACCCACAGTCACCCTCACCAGCAGTCACCCTCACCCACAGCCACTCTAACCAGCAGTTACCCTCACCACAGCCACCCTCACCCGCAGCCATCCCAGCCACAGCCACCCTCACCCACAGTCATCCCAGCCACTGCGGCCTCTGATGTGATGGTTGTGAAGGCCACTCTGGGCTTGCGTTGTTTACGGCACATTCCGGCACTTGCGTGACACCTCCGGCAGACACTTCTTGTTGTCTCTCCTCTCTCTCTCTCTGTCTGTCTGTGTGCTGCCAGGATTTGTTTTGCCGTTTCCACTGAGCCGGGGCCAGCGGTGACAGGACGGTGCTGTCTGCTCCACGTGGAGTTCTCCACGCTTGATCATGCCGCTGCCGCTGCCGCCGCCGTCGTCGCTGCGGCTGCGGCTGCTGCTGCCTCCGCTGCTGCTGCTGCTGCCAGAGTTGGCTCGATGCGCGCCCGTGCCCTTCATCGCCTTCGAAGGCGAGGAAGAGCCCAGCCGGCCCACGGACCTGCAGCTGGCCACGGTATGACGCCTCGTGGCATGACGGTCCACGGCATGACAAACTGTGACATGACCAATGGTATGATGCCTCATGATATGACGCCTCGTGGTATGACGCCTCGTGGCATGACGGTCCATGGCATGACAAACTGTGACATGACTAATGGTATGATGCCTCATGATATGACGCCTCGTGGTATGACGCCTCGTGGCATGACGGTCCACGGCATGACAAACTGTGACATGACTAATGGTATGATGCCTCATGATATGACGCCTCGTGGTATGACGCCCCACGGTATGACCGTCCACGGCATGACAAACTGTGGCATGACCAATGGTATGATGCCTCATGATATGACGCCTCGTGGTATGACGCCCCACGGTATGACCGTCCAAGGCATGACAAACTGTGACATGACCAATGGTATGAGGACCAATGGTATGACGCGTCGTGGTATGAAGCCCCACGGTATGACCGTCCACGGCATGACAAACTGTGGCATGATCAATGGTATGATGTCTCATGATATGACGCCTCGTGGTATGACGCCCCACAGTATGACCGTCCAAGGCATGACAAATTGTGACATGACCAATGATATGATGACCAATGGTATGACGTTCCCTGGTATGGCGCATCATGGTATGACGCCCCACGGTATGACGCCCCACGGTATGACGACCCACAGTATGACCCCCTGCGGTATTATTATCTACGGTATGACACCCTGCAGTAATATGGACATAGGCCGTCAGGTGGCCGCGGTATGACGACTCACGGTATGATGACTCACTGTATGACGACTCACGGTATGACGGCCTGAGCTGGCCATAGGTAGCACAAAAAGGGGCCCTGCCCCCCATTGTGAGATTCACAACAGCACGGTAGGCAGGTCTGGGATGATACGTCGTCTCCACAAGCAAGACTACTATTGTGTTTGCTCTTCATACCAATCATAAAAATAATACATGAGTCGAGTTTCCCGGCTGGCTGCTGGCTGGGCTACTGTCTACCCCACAACAACTCTCTTATAAGTGGCGACGGGAAGTTGCCACTAAATCTAGCTGCATAACTGGACACATGGAGATTTAGCATGCAACAAATTAACATTGATCTGGATTGAAACGGTGGAAGAAGCTTGGAAGACCTAATAATAATAATAATTGCAAACTAACTAAACTATACTTTGTATTTTACCAGGTAAGGCCCCGCTGAGCTAGATAGCTTTTTTTCATAATCGACCTGGCTATCACAAATGATAGCTCACCGAAGTGGCTCATCACGTGTAAATATACTCTAAACGCTGCCGGGCAATGTAAAAAGGACATTGCCTGAAACGTCGCCTGTTTTATATACATATATATTTCCCTTTCAAGGCCGTATTTATACATAACGCAGGCCAGTCTTGCAAATGGGACTCATCCCGGTCTCTTTGAGTTCTTAGCTGGTTAAACAGAACCATCAACTTTGAGTCCTCACCTGGTGAAACAGAAACAACAACTTTGAAAACGTGAGAGTTTATGGCCAGGCGGACACGTGGACAAAGAGCCGTGTGCACAGTTGGTGCAGCCACAGCTTTTGGAGTCCTTTGGCCTTGACAAGAATGCGAACTATGCAACGTCTCCTCCCATCTGTGCCTTTGTTGGCAGTCACGCGAGGTTTATCAGCCAAGAGATGGGCTCCCGTCAATGGGGATTTTAAAGACTGCGTCTAATTAGAACTTACTTACTAACAACATGGATTTTAGAAGATCCCTGGGGTCTGATCTTGCACGATGCTCATGGCCCACCCTTAACCACATCCGCTGCACAAACCGTGGCAGTAGATGTGGATACCTGATGCACAAATGGAAAACTCTCCAGTAGTGTGCGACTGTGGCCATCCAGAACACACCGTACAATGTATAGCGACGCAATGCCCGATCCACAAATACGATCCACAAATACGAAGGAGACATCACAGCGACGATGCACTCCGCTGCTCATAACGCGGTTATCTGGGCTTGCACCACCTGAATGTGGCATTGTAGCTGTTGCTCTGCATCTGCATGAGCAGCTGTATGGAAAAAAAAAAGCGAGCGGTGGGTTTTGTCAGCATTGTAAGAGCACTTGTACCATGAACCCAGGAACCTGAGTTCATTTGCCGGCTAACATCAATACATTTGAGCGGCCTTGAATAATGAAGGACCTACTCCATTCTGACTGCTTTAGCCGACGAGACGAAGCGAAACACGAAGTGAAATCCACAGTTGAAGACTAAAATTCCACAGGTTGCTATCGACTGAGACTACGACTTGAGAAAATAATTCTGACTTAATTCAGAATAAAAGTATTTATTTATACTGGAGGAATCAGATGAGCTATAAAGCTCTTTATCACAGATGTCCAGTAAGGAGGTATGGGGGGGGGGGGGGGGGTCAGAACGTTTAAAAAGCGAACGATACAAAAAATAACTGCTGGTGAAGCCCCACTGAGCTATTAGCTTATTTTTTTTATATACTGGAGGAATCCGATGAGCTATAAAACTCTTGTTCATAGATGTCCAGTAATGAACACTGCAGTACACCCCCTACCCCAACCCTCACGGCCAGCAGCAACCCTCAACAATTTTCCGAATGGTCGCGATGTCGCGTCGTGTGGTGACTCGATTCAAAATTAGATTCGAGTCCAATTATTTTGTCCCGTTTTAATTTGAGCAACACATCAGACGCTGACTTAACACCGATCGCAGTGACGACGACGACCCACGACCGTCGGTTGCCCCCCTCTCCCCGCGACGCGCCACAGCGTTACCTCCGCGACTTCGGCTACTACGGCAGCGACGAGGGAGGAGCGCAGGAGGGCCGCCGCTTCGCCGACGCCCTGCGGAGGATGCGGCGGCGGCTGGGCGTCGCGGCGAGCGCCGGGGCCGCCCTGGACCGCGCCACGCTCGACGCGATGGCGCTGCCGCGCTGCGGGGAGGTGGACGAGGCGGGCTCGCCGCCGGGGATCGAGCGCGTGTGGCTTCGCACCGACCTCACCTACAGGTGAGAGTCGGGGCAGGGGGAGCCACGCCGTGGCGCGTCTGGGCCACGTTTCTGGGAGGCTCAGCCGGAACGCCGCTGCCCTTCCGTCGACCGTGTGGCGGTAGGTTGGGAGGTGTTAACTACCTCGCCTGATATACAGGAGGTCGTGGGTTCGATCCAGACCCTGACACCTGATGTGTATTTGGAATTTGTATGTCTCTCTCTCATCATCACCACGGTGGCTAGGATATGTTAACTTCCTCGCCTGGTATACAGGACGTCGTGGGTTCGATCCTATATATTTGGAGCTTGCGTGTCTCTCTCCCCGTGGTCGCATGGATTTTTCTCCGGATCCCTCCTATTTTTCCCTTCACGTTTAAAATCACCATCACTCGTTCTCAGAGTATTTCGCTGCTATAAACGTCCACATGATGATGATGATGATAAGCCACCTCGTTGAGTTATCATTTGTGATGGCCAGTTCGCTTCTGAAAAAGAGCTACATAGCTCAGTTGGGCCTTACCTGGTAAAGGTAAAATGTAACAAGTATAAAGACTAATTATTTATTCGGTCGTGTTGCGGGCAGGGTGGTTGGCGAGACGGGCGACCTGGAGCGGGCCGTCGTGGAGGGCATGGTGGCGCGTGCCATGGCGGTCTGGTCGTCCGCGTCGCTTCTCCGATTCAGTCCGGCGCCCAACGGCCAGCGGCCGGACATCTCCATCAGCTTCCACACCAAGGGTCAGAGGGCACGGGGGGTTACGGGTTGGAGCGCAAAGGGTTGGGGTCACGATGTGGTTTTGGCCAGGAATGTTTCTTAATGGTGCTTTTGCTTTTTAATATTTTTCTTTATTCAATCGCGCAATCAAATTAAACCCACAGGAGATATTTGTTTAAAGGAGGAAAAATCACGCACACGCACGGAATTTTGTAATGCTTTCCAAAAAGTTTCCCCATGGCAAGTGTGCAATTGGCGTCAACGTTACGTCGCAGGCCGTACGATGAGACGCCGCACGGCACGTGACAATTCGAGTATGACGTCTCGGCGGTAATGGCATCCAGCATCATCGGGCAATTGCGCCCGATGATGGCTTCGTTTTTGACGTGGACCGCGAGAGGGAAGACGCCAGCCACGTTCCTGGGAGGCTCAACGGGGACGCAGATTTTCAACCCCAGTTGGAAATCGTGAGACGCGCAGGCGGACGTGCGAGAGAGAGAGAGGGCGGGCGAGAGACAGAGATGGAGAGAGACAGAGAGAGCGAGAGACAGAGAGAGCGAGAGACAGAGAGAGCGAGAGACAGAGAGAGCGAGAGACAGAGAGAGCGAGAGACAGAGAGAGCGAGAGACAGAGAGAGCGAGAGACAGAGAGAGCGAGAGACAGAGAGAGCGAGAGACAGAGAGAGCGAGAGACAGAGAGCGAGAGACAGAGAGAGCGAGAGACAGAGAGCGAGAGACAGAGAGAGCGAGAGACAGAGAGAGCGAGAGACAGAGAGCGAGAGACAGAGAGAGCGAGAGAAAGAGAGAGCGAGAGACAGAGAGCGAGAGACAGAGAGCGAGAGACAGAGAGCGAGAGACAGAGAGAGCGAGAGAGAGCGAGAGACAGAGAGCGAGAAACAGAGAGAGTGAGAGACAGAGATAGCGAGAGACAGAGAGAGCGAGAGACAGAGAGAGCGAGAGAGACAGAGCGAGACAATAAGGTTAACCTGATGGGTTCAGTGATGACGTCGTCCTGCTCTATTTAAGACCGGAAGCAGGTGGATTGCTTCACTATTCTGGAAAATCGCCCGAAGATGCTGGATGTAATTAGCAGAGAAACATTTTTAATGTTGTGGATTTACTCTCCAACACACCGGTGGGCTGAAGTGGTAGCTGTTTGGCGCATTGTTTACGTGACAAACTTCACTGGCTGTGTCGGGTGGTGGAGGGTTACGACACATTTACACTCACGCGACCTAACCCGATAAACCTGATTATGAATGATATTGTTGGCGAAAGGCTGCTCCGTGTCCCGCTGGCGGTGACCGCGCGTTGCTCTGCAACAGACCACGGGGACGGGCGGCCGTTTGACGGCCCCGGCGGCGTGGTGTCGCACTTGGGGGGCGACTCGCGCGGCGGCGTGCACATCCACGTGGACGACGACGAGTTCTGGACGTTCGGCGAGGGCCGAGGTTCGGTTTGCCGGTTACGCCCGGGGACTCAGGGCCGTGCTCACCCACAACGTTCGCTGGGGCCCAGCATGTCAAACTAAACTAAACTTTTTATTTATTTATTTTAAAACGTAAGGCCCACTGAGCTGTGTAGATCTTTTTCAGGAGCGAATTGGTTATTACAAATGATGGCTCAACGAAGTGGCTCATCATCATCATCATCACGTGGAAATCTATAGCAGCCAAAGACTCTAAACGCGTGATGTCGATGGAAAATGTGGAGGGGGAAAACCGGAGGACCCGGAGAAAAATCAACGCGACCACGGGGAGAGAGAGACCACAAACTCTAAATATACAGCAGCAGCAGGCGTCAGGGTCGGGATTGAACCCACGACCTCCTGCACACCAGGAGAGGTAGTTAACATCTCTTAGCCACCGCTGCAAGCCACAGAGGGGATACATTCCGCGTGTGCACAATATGCTCGGTCCAACCGATTGAAGTTACCCGGGTTCACTGACCCTACAAGTGGTGGGTCAACCAGGGAAGGGGGAGAGAGGAGTTGGCGTGGGGGGTGGAATGTAACCGAACGAAATGTTTACGCACAATATGTAAACGCGATGTCCGGATAGGCCGTTTTATTCCTCCCCCCCCCCCACCCGGGTCAAATTATCACGTGACGCTCTACGCCTTCACGTACAATAATCAATAAGTGTTCGATCAACTTAATTTGCACGAGTCGTGTAATCGATATTGTTTGCTTGACTCAGGCAGACCCAGTTGAACTAAAACCCTGCTAACATAAAATCCACAGATTAACGTAGAACCCATGAACAGATTATTTATAGTCCACATAGGATACATCAACTAACATAGGTCCCACAGATTAAGATAGAATGTGCGAGTGTGTGTAGAAGTGTGCGAGTGTGTGCGAGTGTAGAAGTGTGCGAGCATACGAGTGCGCGCGTGTGCAGTGAACGTGTGTGCGAGCGTACGAGCGTGCGAGTGTACGCGTGTGTATGGGCGTACGCTGGTGCGAGCGTACGCTTGTGTGCGTGTGCGAGCGTACGCGTGTGTGCGTGTGCGAGCATACGCTTGTGTGCGTGTGCGAGCGTGTGCGCGTGTGCGAGCGTGCGCGTGTGTGCGTGTGCGAGCATACGCTTGTGTGCGTGTGCGAGCGTACGCGTGTGTGCGTGTGCGAGCGTTCGCGTGTGTGCGTGTGGCCGTAGTGGTGAAGACGCGGTTCGGGACAGCGCGCGGGGACTTCTGCATCTTCCCGTTCGCGTTCGGGGGCCGCCTCTTCCACACCTGCACCGCGTCAGGCCGCGACGACGGCCTGCCCTGGTGCTCGGCCACCGACGACTACGACCGTGACCGCCGCTTCGGCTTCTGTCCTCACGAGGGTGAGCCGCCCGCCCCGTTCGCTGCAGAGGTTCGCGGTTAGAATCGCGGAGGACGCCCCAGTTAATGCCGCGGTGCGTCCTGGTTAATGCCGCGTCCCCCGGACGGGGACCTCGCTTCCCCATCAAGGATAGTTTAGGTTTTCTTGTCCGCCCACCCAGGGCCTACGATTAGCACGGTTGGCTATGTACGTTGCGAAAGACGTTCACCATACATACGTATGTACACATTTTTTTAATGAAAGCAATTCGTTAACAACACACGAGTCCATTGCAGCCAGTGGCGCGATCCACTTTGCGCGTCACCCGTCGCAATAAGCCGTACCGACGCGGCTGCGCTGTGTACCAGGTGAGGGGTGAACAGACCTACAATTTAACACGTAGGATTTTGCGACCGATATTATTTCTCAATTGTAAATATCGTGGGTTTCCTCGCCGTCACACCGATTGTGCCGAAGCAATAGCTAATTGGTACGTTGTGTTCACGTGGCAAAGCTGACTAATTGGCCGTGTTGGGTGGTGGTGGATTAACGACACATTTACGTTCATGCGATATAAACAGGATCCTGGACGTTCAGGATCCTGTCTAAAAGTAAAACTTCTATGCGCCGCTTCTCGGTTGCTGCCCCAACAGTCTGGAACGCCATCCCTCTGCACATTCACAGCATCGCCTCAATCGTCTCCTTCAAGAGACACTTAAAGACTCACCTCTAGAACCACACTTTCAAGTGACTCTGAGCTTGGCTCCGCGCCTCTGAGTTGCGGCCGTTACGTCCGCAAATTTTGCGCGAGTTATAAATTGGATTACTCTTTGGTTCTTTCTAAATAAAATAAAAAAAAATAGAATACGACGTTTCGATTGCAACACAAGCAATCGTCATCAGGTAGAACTAAATTTGAGAGAGAGACAAAACACAGACAGACACACAAGCAGAGAGAGACAACACAGAGACACACAGAGAGAAAGACACACAACAGAGACACACAGAGAGAAAGACACACAACATAGACAGACATTATGATTTATTGTTACCAGGTTTGGCCCACTGAGCTGTGTAGCTCGTTTTCAGAAGCGACCTGGCCACAAATGATAGTTCAACGTCGTGGCTTATGAATGGAAATTTCTAGCAGCCGAATACTCTAAACGAGTGCTGCTAACTCCACTTGTGGAGTAAAAATCCGGAGAACCCAGAGAAGAATCCACGCGACCATGGGGAGAGAGAGAGAGACACGGAAACTCTTAAATATAGAGCAGGCATCGTCAGGGTCAGGATCGGAGCCACGACCTCTTGCATACCAAGCGAGGTAACTAACATCTTCTAACCACCGCGGTGCCCCCCACACTCAGCTGGGCTGACCCTAACCCTGCCGTCTCCATCGCCCCCCAGAGGTGTTCACCGTGGATGGTAACGGAGAAGGAGCTCCGTGCGTCTTCCCCTTCGTGTACGGCGGGCGCGAGTACAGCGCCTGCACCTCGGCTGGCCGCGACGACGCTGAGCGGTGGTGTGCCACCACTGCCAACTACGACGCCGACCACAAGTACGGGTTCTGCCCGCCCTCCGGTGAGAGCACCTCCGGATTAGCGCGGGTGGCTACGTACGGTGTGAAAGAAATTCATTGATTCAACACTGCACATAGACTCAACACTGCCCATAGACTTAACACTGCACCATGGACTCAACACTGCACCATAGACTCAACACTGCACCATAGACTCAACACTGCACCATAGATTCAACACTGCACCATAGACTCAACACTGTCCATTGATTTAACACTGCACCATAGACTCAACACTGCACCATAGACTCAACACTGCACCATAGACTCAACACTGCACCATAGACTCAACACTGCCCATAGACTCAACACTGCACCATAGACTTAACACTGCACCATAGACTCAAAACTGCACAATAGACTCAACGCTGCACCATAGACTTAACACTGCACCATAGACTCAACACTGCCCATAGACTCAACACTGCCCACATACTCAGCACTGCACCATAGACTCAACACTGCACATAGACTCAACACTGCACCATACACTTAACACTGCACCAAAGACTCAACTCTGCACCATAGACTCAACACTGCTCATAGACTCAACACTGCCCATAGACTCAACACTGCCCATAGACTCAACACTGCCCATAGACTCAACACTGCACCATAGACTCAACACTGCACCATAGACTCAACACTACCCATAGACTCAACACTGCACCATAGACTCAACACTGCACCATAGACCCAACACTGCACCATAGACTCAACACTGCACCATAGACTAACACTGCACCATAGACTCAACACTGCACCATAGACTCAACACTGCACCATAGACTAACACTACCCATAGACTAACACTGCCCATAGACTCAACACTACCCATAGACTCAACACTGCACCATAGACTCAACACTGCACCATAGACTCAACACTGCACCATAGACTCAACACTGCACCATAGACTCAACACTACCCATAGACTAACACTGCCCATACACTAACACTGTCCATAGACTAACACTGCACCATAGACTCAACACTGCACATAGACTCAACACTGCACCATAGACTCAACACTGCACCATAGACTCAACACTGCACCATAGACTAACACTACCCATAGACTAACACTGCCCATAGACTCAACACTACCCATAGACTCAACACTGCACCATAGACTCAACACTGCACCATAGACTCAACACTGCACCATAGACTCAACACTGCACCATAGACTCAACACTACCCATAGACTAACACTGCCCATACACTAACACTGTCCATAGACTAACACTGCACCATAGACTCAACACTGCACATAGACTCAACACTGCACCATACACTTAACACTGCACCAAAGACTCAACTCTGCACCATAGACTCAACACTGCTCATAGACTCAACACTGCCCATAGACTCAACACTGCCCATAGACTCAACACTGCCCATAGACTCAACACTGCACCATAGACTCAACACTGCACCATAGACTCAACACTGCACCATAGACTCAACACTGCACCATAGACCCAACACTGCACCATAGACTCAACACTGCACCATAGACTAACACTGCACCATAGACTCAACACTGCACCATAGACTCAACACTGCACCATAGACTAACACTACCCATAGACTAACACTGCCCATAGACTCAACACTACCCATAGACTCAACACTGCACCATAGACTCAACACTGCACCATAGACTCAACACTGCACCATAGACTCAACACTGCACCATAGACTCAACACTACCCATAGACTAACACTGCCCATACACTAACACTGTCCATAGACTAACACTACCCATAGACTCAACACTACCCATAGACTCAACACTACCCATAGACTAACACTACCCATAGACTAACACTACCCATAGACTCAACACTGCCCATAGACTCAACACTACCGATAGACTGCTTTTTGCGTTGGTTGTCCTTCCTCTGCACCTCCGATTAGCACAGTTAGCTACGTACGGTGCGAAAGAAGTTCAACGTGCGTACATATGCACAGACCGTGTGTTAAAGGCCCATCATCAGTCCACAGGACAGAGCGCAAATTGGATTATTTTCTTTTAATCAAATTCATCGTTTCAGAAAACAACAGCGCAGGCGGAAAAAAAAAAACGCCCATTCTTTTCAAACAACACTCGGTCACGTTTGCAAAGAGCTCAAGGCATTAATGCGTTATTCAGAATCCTTATTTATCCCGGAGAAACATGAATAGGTTTTACCTGCAGCGGGGGGGGGGGGGGGTAGCGTTAGCAACGTCCAGAAGGCTCTTACGTGTTCACGTGCGGCGTCTGCCCCCCCCCCCTCTTCCCACCGCCTAGCCCTGACGACGGTGGGGGGCAATGCGGACGGCGCTCCGTGCGTCTTCCCCTTCCGATTCCTGGGGCGGAGCTACGAGACGTGCACGGCGGAGGGTCGCGCCGATGGGCAGCTGTGGTGCGCCACCACGGACAGCTACGACGCCCACCGAAAGTGGGGCCTCTGCCCCGCCGCCGGTATTGCTCTCCGTTCTTTCTGGGGGGCAGAGGGAGGTAAAACATTCTGAAGACGCGACGACGCCGAGAGCAACGGCGACGTCCTTCGAAGGTCGTTCACCATCAGAATATTTACTTACGCCGGAGGAATCTGGTGAGCTCTGAGCCTCTCTTTTCACAGATGTCCAACGTATTTATTTGGAAGGGCGACGCGGCCCAACAGTAGCGTGTTTAAACTAAACTATTTTTAAACTAAAGAGTAAACTAATCTATTTTGAAATAAACTAAACTATTGTTCATAATAGAGATTTTTGGGTTAGATCGCGTAAATATATAAATGTGTCGTTAAAACCCGCCACCACCCGACACAGTCAACTAGTAAGGGTTGGCACGTAAACAGAACATGCCAAATTGGCATGGATGATATTTTTCGCGAAAGCCTACGTGTTAAACTAAACTATTGTTGTCTAACCAGGTAAAGCCCACTGAACTTTGAACCTCTTTTTCACAGATATCCAGTAGGGGCACGGGGTCAGAATGTTACAACTACAAACACAATACAAAAACACGATAGGAGTGCAAAGTCTAGGAATGGTAAACAAATCACGAAAAAAATATTTACCAGGTAAGGACCACTGCGCTATTAGCTTCTTTTTCAGAAGCGACCTGGCCACGGATGATAGCTCAACGAAGTGGCTTATCAGGCGGACATTTATATCAGCCAAACAATCTAAATAACATAAACAACATCTTCTTTGGTTCTTTCGGTAAAGTCACGTAGAATGAGAATAAAATAATAAATTGAATATTATTGTGTTATTTTATTTTATCAATTTATTATTTTATTCTCATTCTACGTGACTTTACCGAAAGAACCAAAGAAGATGAATCATTGCAGTCACGAAAGCTTTAAATCGAAATAAACAACATCCATCGGTAGGTCCGACGTCGGGCTCGCGTGCGCGCGTGCCGCGGGCGTGGGGATCGGCGTTCGGTAGGCGACTTCGGCGCGTCCTTAACGCCCGCCGGGCCCCCTCGATGTCGTCCGTCGCGATGGCGCCGCCAGGCCTCAGCCTCTTCCTGGCGCTGGTGCACGCCGTGGGCGACGCGCTGGGGCTGAGCCACTCGGAGGAGCCCGGAGCCGCCACCTTCCCCGTCCTCTCGTACCGCCGCAACTTCCAGCTCAGCCCCGCCGACGAGAGCGCCGTCCGTGACCTTTACGGTAAGAGAGGTCGCAAAGGTCACCAAGGTCACAAAGGTCACCGCCACCCAGATATTAAACTTTGGCGCCCCCCCCCCCCCGTGCTTATCTCGACTGATCGAGACAAAATAAAACCAAACGGATGAACGAGACCGACGATCCGGTCCGCTCTCGCCGTGCGGACAGGGGAGCCGCGGGTCGGAGACTCCGCCACGGACGACGCGAGGGCCCGGCGCAAGGGCCCCGAGGGGCCCGGCTTGTGCGACGACGCCGTGGCCGTCGGGGCCGCGGTCCAGCGCGGAGAGACGACGATCGTCTTCAAGGGCGGGTGAGGGTCGAGCTCTCCCCACCACTCCCCTCCCCACTCCCCCGCCAACTTTCCCCCTTGTCACCGGTTTTGTGAACTTAGCAGCGGTTTTCGGGTTTCCCACGACGACTACTTTATGACATAAGGATTTGAATGGGTTGCGAGCTTCGTGCCTCATTGTGTCAAAGCACCTGACGTTGTCGCGCCAAATCTAGCGGCTCGCTGGGACGAGCATATTATGCAGAGTTTGCAACGACTCCCGCTATGAATTAACGATCCCTCAACATAGCGGTTTGCTCTCTTTGTAACTCGGGAAATAAATTGACTGGTCAAGCAGGTCCAGGTGTGGATTCGTGATCCTCAATTCACATCCTGTTCAGGTTCACGCTGGGCAGGTGTGAACTTGTTCAGGTTCACAGCCTGTTCAGGTTCGCACCCTGTTCAGGATCACACCGCTTAGCTTCCTAGCTCTGATAAGATCGGGCCCATTCCGAGTGATCTCGCCGCACGTGTGTGTGTGTATACGCACGTGTGTGTGTGTCTATAAGCCCACGTGTGTGTGTGTGTGTAAGCGCGCGCTTGTACACGCGCGCAAATTAATGTGTGAGGGAGCGGTAGCGTAGCACTTAGCTCACTTTGCCATGAACCCGGCGACCCGAGTTCGATTCCCACTCGCGGCCAACATCAATGACGGACATCTGAACCGGTGCCGGGTTTCCCCCCTGGGCCTTCGCAACCTGAACACGAGTGCCCGGTGCGAAGCGTTGCCATCGGCACTTTACGTACGGGCGCCGAACTTCTTTCGTTCCCGTTCGGAGCCAACCGTGCTCCCAACTGTGCTCCCAACCGTGCTCCCAACCGTGCTTCCAACCGTGCTCCCAACCGTGCTCCCAACCGTGCTCCCAACCGTGCTCCCAACCGTGCTCCCAACCGTGCTTCCAACCGTGCTCCCAACCGTGCTCCCAACCGTGCTCCGTGCTCCCAACCGTGCTCCCAACCGTGCTCCGTGCTCCCAACCGTGCTCCCAACCGTGCTCTGTGCTCCCAACCGTGCTCCCAACCGTGCTCCGTGCTCCCAACCGTACTCCCAACCGTGCTCCGTGCTCCCAACCGTGCTCCGTGCTCCGTGCTCCCAACCGTACTCCCAACCGTGCTCCGTGCTCCCAACCGTGCTCCCAACCGTGCTCTGTGCTCCCAACCGTGCTCCCAACCGTGCTCCGTGCTCCCAACCGTGCTCCGTGCTCCGTGCTCCCAACCGTACTCCCAACCGTGCTCCGTGCTCCCAACCGTGCTCCCAACCGTGCTCTGTGCTCCCAACCGTGCTCCCAACCGTGCTCCGTGCTCCCAACCGTACTCCCAACCGTGCTCCGTGCTCCCAACCGTACTCCCAACCGTGCTCCGTGCTCCCAACCGTGCTCCCAACCGTGCTCCGTGCTCCCAACCGTACTCCCAACCGTGCTCTGTGCTCCCAACCGTGCTCCCAACCGTGCTCTGTGCTCCCAACCGTGCTCCCAACCGTGCTCCGTGCTCCCAACCGTACTCCCAACCGTGCTCCGTGCTCCCAACCGTGCTCCCAACCGTGCTCCCCGGAGGTGTGCGGGGGAAGGGCAACAAACTCAACACACACACAAAAACAACTGTTTTAAAGAAATGGCTTTTCAATGATTTAAAAGTGGGTATTATAATGTTCAAGGGGACGCATGCGCCCGCACGTCGCACCTTCAGGCACCTCCCTCCCTGTAGACACCTCGGTGCTGACGGGCCCTCCCACCCCTCCCCGCGTGTCCCCCACCGTCGCCAGCCTCTACTGGGAGCTCGTGGGCCCCGGGGGAGTCCCCAGGGGGCCGTTCCCCATCGCGCGGCGGTGGCCAGGGGCACCCCCCGCGGTGCAGGCGGCCAGCGGGGGCCCTGGGCCTGACGACGTGACCCTCTACGCAGGTTCGCCAGCGTCACCCCAGGCATTGTTCACTTCGTTGTGTCCCTAGGCAGTGCTGTTGTTATTATTATTACGACAGAGCCCCCCCCCCCCCCCTCTCTCAACCATGCTCATTGGTTCCACGAAACCGGTCGTGAAGTGATCCGGTCGGTAAGCGAGTATAGGAAATAGACGTCAAAGGCTTAATTCGTTCCGAAAACGTCGAAAGTTACCCTTTTCGCCCAAAAAACGCACATTATAATATGTACACAATGGATATTAATCTATAAAGATACAAACAACATTATAAACACTTAATACTAAAATAAACATGGTTAATCAATGCATTCATTAATATTTACTCCACCTACAGCAGCCCGTCGTTTTCTACCTACGCGACTTTACCGAAATAACCAAAGAGTATGGATACTTGCAGTCACGAAAGCTTCAAATCAAGATGAATAGTAATAGCTTCATCATCAGTGCTTTTCTCACGTAAATATATTTTGACTCGCGTCGAGAAGCACTGACTCATACAGAGACCCATAGACATAGACACAGACCCGCAAACTCACACAGAAACCCGCAGACTTAAGAGATCCGTGATATTCACAGAAACATAGAAACCTATAGAATCACACAGAGACCCATAGACACCCATACTCATATAGAGACCCATAGACTCACAGACACCCATAGACTCACAAAGAGACGCATAGACGCACATTGAGACCCGTAGACTCACATAGAGACTCATAGACTCACATAGAGACCCATAGACTCACAATGAGATCCATAGACTCACAATGAGACCCTTACACTCACCTTGAGACTCGTAAACTCACATAGAGACCCATAAACTCACAATGAGACCCATAGACTCACCTTGAGACCCGCAGACTCACATAGAGACTCATATAGGGACCTATAAACTCACATAGAGACCCATAGACTCACAATGAAACCCATAGACTCACCTTAAGACCCGTAGACTCACATAGAGACCCATAAACTCACATAGAGATGCGCTCAATGCTTTTCCCGCGTAGCGTCTTTAAAAGAAAATAAATAATCAGCGCGTTCAAGAATCTAACCCAGCTAATTCTAGATTTAAAGCTTTCGTGACTGCAAGGATCCATACATTATTTTTTACCTACGTGACATTACCGAATAGAACCAAAGAGTACTAACCCAGCTAACCCAGCCACGGCGCGTGACGGTCGGCGCCAGGCTCGCTAATCTGGAGGTTCTCCGGAGGCCGCCTCGTGGAGGCCGCTCCGAGGCCCCTGCCGGGGGCGGACGGAGCGGAGGGCCCCGCTCACATCGACGCCGCCTTCTACAGCCGCCGCTGGCAGAGCCACCTCGTCTTCTCGGGCCACCTGCTGTGGAGGTCTGCTTCACCGTCAGACGTCACCCTTCCCCGTCAGACGTCACCCTTCACCGTCAGACGTCACCCTTCCCCGTCAGACGTCACCCTTCCCCGTCAGACGTCACCCTTCCCTGTGAGACGTCACCCTTCCCCGTCAGACGTCACCCTTCCCTGTGAGACGTCCGTCACCCTTCCCCGTCAGACGTCACCCTTGTCAGACGTCACCCTTGTCAGACGTCACCCTTCCCCGTCAGACGTCACCCTTCCCCGTCAGACGTCACCCTTCCCTGTCAGATGTCCGTCACCCTTCCCCGTCAGACGTCACCCTTCCATGTCAGACGTCACCCTTCCCCGTCAGACGTCACCCTTCCCTGTGAAACGTCACCCTTCACCGTCAGACGTCACCCTTCCCCGTCAGACGTCACCCTTCCCCGTCAGACGTCACCCTTCCATGTCAGACGTCACCCTTCCCCGTCAGACGTCACCCTTCCCTTTGAGACGTCACCCTTCCCCGTCAGACGTCACCCTTCCCTGTGAGACGTCACCCTTCCCTGTGAGACGTCACCCTTCCCCGTCAGACGTCACCCTTCCCTGTGAGGCGTCACCCTTCCCCGTCAGACGTCACCCTTCCCTGTGAGACGTCACCCTTCCCTGTGAGACGTCACCCTTCCCTGTGAGACGTCACCCTTCCCTGTGAAACGTCACCCTTCCCCGTCAGACGTCACCCTTCCCTGTGAGACGTCACCCTTCCCTGTGAAACGTCACCCTTCCTCGTCAGACGTCACCCTTCCCTGTGAGACGTCACCCTTCCCTGTGAGACGTCACCCTTCCCTGTGAGACGTCACCCTTCCCTGTGAAACGTCACCCTTCCCTGTGAGACGTCACCCTTCCCTGTGAGACGTCACCCTTCCCTGTGAGACGTCACCCTTCCCCGTCAGACGTCACCCTTCCCCGTCAGACGTCACCCTTCCCTGTGAGGCGTCACCCTTCCCCGTCAGACGTCACCCTTCCCTGTGAGACGTCACCCTTCCCTGTGAGACGTCACCCTTCCCTGTGAGACGTCACCCTTCCCTGTGAGACGTATATCTCACCTTTCGCTCAGCGTCTCTCATCAAGGAACATAAACCACCATCAGGTGAACTCCGGTCATCCTCCCCATTGAACAAAGGCTGTCACCGAAGCATCGCACGGCACTTTCAGATGCGCTTCTGCGGTCGTCTGGAATGCTCTTCCTTCCGATATTAGGAAGCCACTTGGAGCAATGCACTTTTAAATCGTCATCATCATCTAGATTGACAAACTGACTTCTTTAGAACTGCTTGTTGTGTTTAGTTAGTTGTCCAGAGCACTCGGCCTTCGTGCATGATCAGAATCTGAATATTTGGTCATACCGGAGGAATCCAATGAGCTATAAATCTCGTTTTCACAGATGTTCCAGTATGCCTGTCAGACGGTCACGTTTGCTCAAATGTATTTGACGGTGACCGAAGACAAGGATGACAAACGATGCAGTTCTTCAGGGACTGTTGATGGTCTGTGCATTTCTGGGAGTTGTTTGAAATCTACGAACCCCACCTGGACGAAGGCCTCCCCTTGCCGGATTAGTCAAGGGGGTTTGTTTGACCATATTTCACCACACGGTGAGGAGTGAGCCCAGGACCCGTTCAGATATCTCGCGCGTTGTATGTATGTTGTAAGTACTTAGGTATGTTGAACTTTTTTTTAGCACCATACGTAGCCAACCGTGCTAATTGAAGGTGCGGGGAAGGACAACAAACTAAATACAAAAATAAGTCTAAAAAAATGATTGGGTGGGTGGGTGGGTGATTCGGCGGGTGATTGGGTGGGTAGGTAATTTTGGAATATCGCCGTAGTCTGGCGAGACTCGGCGTTACACATTCTTTAGCGCTGAGACAGACCCGCGTTCCGTGTTGTTATCATGTTAACAGGGAGCTGCATCAAAGCGCCGAGTCGTGAACTAAATGGCTTTTCGAGCTTGGCCAGATTCGTCTCTGCGCTCGGGCGGTTTGTGCAGGTACGATTCTGAGATGAAGACGATGCAGCCCGGATCGCCGCGCAGGATCCGGGCAACGTTCGCCGGCCTCCCGGCTTCGATAGACGCCGCTTTCGAGCGGGACGGTAGGTTTGCGTGCACGCATACCCAACTCAATTCGCGCCGCAGGCAGCCCAGCCGTGATAATCGTTTCCTGCCGTGCGTGACAAAAGACACGCAGGGAAATTTGCAACGCGTGCTGGTTTGAGTCTCACTCTCTCAGGACGAGTCGGAGGTGTGGGGGAAATCGCAGACAAGCGGCGAATGCGGCCAGAACTGGCACCAAACCATTGCCCATGCTCTGCAGCCCCTCACTTAAATATTTCGTAAACGAACGAATGTGTTTACGCACGTGCGGGGTAAACCAGAGCACCTGGAGAAAACTCACGAGCGCCAAGGGTGGTAACACTCGACCGCTGTACAGATGGAAACACACACACACATGCAAAAGGTAAAGGTGCAGCCCTGTAACTGCTTGATCACACCACTGCCTTCATTCGAGGTCAACTCTCAGACCAGCGGTCCCCAACCGGTGGTCCCCGGGCGATTCGTGAGGCTACTCCGGGCGGTGGTGGGGAGGGTCCGCTGAAAATAAAAATCGCATCCCAGCCGAGGAAATGTCCAATTTCAAATCACTACGAGCAGCAGCAGCAGTGGTAGCAGCAGCAGCAGTGGTAGCAGCAGTGGTACCAGCAGCAGTGGTAGCAGTGGTAGCAGCAGTGGTAGCAGCAGCAGCGGCAGTAGTAGCAGCAGCAGCAGCTGTGGTAGCAGCAGCAGCGGCAGTAGTAGCAGCAGCAGCAGTGGTAGCAGCAGCAGCAGCAGCAGTGGTAGCAGCAGCAGCAGTGGTAGCAGCAGCAGCAGTGGTAGCAGCAGCAGTGGTAGCAGCAGCAGCAGTGGTAGCAGCAACAGCAGTAGTAGCAGCAGCAGCAGTGGTAGCAGCAGCAGCAGTGGTAGCAGCAGCAGCAGTGGTAGCAGCAGCAGTGGTAGCAGCAGCAGCAGTGGTAGCAGCAGCAGTGGTAGCAGCAGCAGCAGTGGTAGCAGCAGCAGCAGCAGTGGTAGCAGCAGCAGTGGTAGCAGCAGCAGCAGTGGTAGCAGCAGCAGCAGTGGTAACAGCAGCAGCAGCAGTGGTAGCAGCAGCAGCAGTGGTAGCAGCAGCAGTGGTAACAGCAGCAGCAGCAGTGGTAACAGCAGCAGCAGCAGTGGTAGCAGCAGCAGCAGTGGTAGCAGCAGCAGCAGTGGTAGCAGCAGCAGCAGCGGTGGTAGCGCGTGGTGGTCAGCGACATGTGTGGGGGTTTAAAAGGGGTCCGCACACTCAACGGTTGGGAACTGCTGCTCTACGGGGGTGTGCGGTGTTTGATCTACCCTCTATATCAGGTGTTCTTAATCTGGGGTTCACGCAGCCCCTGGGGGTGCCAGATGCCCTTTCTCGGGGTGCGAGACATGGCCAGATTAGTTTAGAAGGTGAATCGTTGATAACACATATTTAGCACGGGGCACGCAAGAAACACCTACTTTGTTTCATCAAACTCCGTGTATGTATTGACGTTGTACAATTTATATTTTTTGGTTCTTTCGGTAAAGTCACGTAGAAGGGAAACAATTAAATAAAACAATTTGTTTACGATTGAGAACCAAAGGGGTGCAAGGCTGCAGTAAAGGTTAAGAAGCACTCCTCTCGAGGGTTATGTCTGCTCTGCCCTCCAGAGGGTGGTGTGTGTTTGAAGAGGTGGGAGTACGCACACTTGACCCCACCACACGGTGAACCCATTCATTCTGCGCCGGAAGACGGAATCGAATCGACGACCTCTGGCTTGCAATTTTAATTTGCTAAACATTGCACCGCGGCCGCTCCCATTGTAAAATGATGTGAGAATATGAATGGCTGTGTGGGTAGTGGAGTGGTTAGGATGCGCTGCGTGAAGAAACCGGCTACCTGAGTTCGATTCCCGCTCACGGCCAACACCAGGGTGTGAACCGGTTCTGGGCCTCCCCTAGGTTGACTCAGCTTCAAATGAGTGCCTGGTGCGGTGTGTAAACATCAGCACCGAGGATGCACATGCGGCCGCGCGTGGTGTTGGCCACCCACGCCCTCGTGTGCCGTACGGGCCTTCATAGCTAACAGCACTTGCCCCAACAGTCTGCTAAAGGCTATATGGGGCATCTCTGTATTTGTCTTAGAGGAGCGGTAGTATTGTGGCTCGCGCCCTGCACTACGATCCTGGTGACCCGAGTTCGATTCCCGCTAACGACCAATAACAGCGGCGAATATCTGAACTGGTTATGGGCCTCGCCTAGGTCAACCCGGCTTTAATACCAGCACTGGCGAAACAAAGGCAGGTGGGCGTTGTGATGGCCACCCACCCCCTCGTGTGCTGTGCCGGCCTTCATAGGTGCTGCTCGCTAACAGCACTTGCCCCAACAGTCTGTAACAGGCTACACGGGGGATATTTGTCTTTGTGCGTGTTTGTGTTCTGCTGCTCTAGGTCTGGCATATTTCATCAAAGGTCATCGCATCTGGCAGTACAACGGGCGGACACTGACGCACCAGGGCTTCTTCAACTCCGATTGGCTTGGCTGCATCACTTGACCTGGGCGCCTGCGTCCCACACCACCCTGTGCCCCTGTGTATGAGGGACAGGGCGAGGGGGTATTCTTTTGGTGACCCAAGCCGGAAAATGATTATCCCCCGAAATGTGTGTAAAAAGGGCAGGGTTCACTAATTGACGGGCAAACGACAACCACCGCTCAGAGATGCTGAATTTAGAAAACTCAACGAAACTTTATTTTTATTTTACCAGCTCTGTGTGTGATGCGGCTCTCGAACTATTTTTGTCAATGATAAAGACAAAAACATGTGGCACTTCTTCTTTGAAAGGTTGTCCACCCCTGGTCTATCCCAAGACGTCTGGCCAACTTGGAAGAGTAGTAGGCCCATCAGAGAACGCTATGCAAAATGCAAATAGTTTCCTGGAGTAAACTCAACGATTGTTTCTATTACCAGGTAAGGCCCACTGAGCTATGTGGCTCTTTTTCAGAAGCGACCTGGCCACCACAAATGATAGCTCAACGAAGGGGCTTATCGTGTGGAAATTTATAGCAGCCAAATACTCTAAACGCGTGGTGATGTTGATTCTCAACGTAGAGGGGGAAAACCGGAGGACCCGGAGAAATATCCACGTGACCACAGGGAGAGAGAGACGCAGACTCCACATATACAGCAGCAGGCGTCAGGGTCAGGATCGAACCCACGACCTCCTACCTACCAGGGGAGGTCGTTAACATCTCGCCACCGTGGCGCCCGGTGTCCTTCCGCTAACGCGAGTCGAGTTTATAAACGGCCTGTCGAGATTTTTCCAAGGGTGTCACCGTAAGCCGGGGTTCTTCATTGCAAGGCCCCGCGAGCCACTGGCGGCCCCTGGTGGCCTTTAGTGCGGTCCCCGACAATACACAAGGAGTGAAAACACCACCCCCATCATCATCGTCGTGCTGCTGTCAAACCCCCAATTGTTTCAAACGTGTGACAACCCTCAACACTGACGATGTCTAATCGGCGAAAGTGCCCCCCTCCACTGAAAATGAGTGAAGAACACTGGCGTACATGCAGAGTTTCTTCGGTACTTATTTTTCCACTGCTGCGTCCCAGCCGAGCCAGCTTGAGGGCCCTCTCGGTGCTGTTTACCGAGCCGAGCCTGACGCAACCCGTGATACATTGGCCTCACAAGGCCTATTGGAAATTTGGCTCAGGTTGCAAGCAGGGCCAGGGGCGGGGCCTAATGACGCGTTGTATGTACGTTCTTTCGCACCATACGTAGCCAACCGTGCTCATTGGAGGTGCGGGGGGAGGACAACAAACTAAACACAAACAAGCAGTTTTCAAGAAACGAGTTTTCAATCTCCATTTAAAAGTGCATAGAGCCAGTGGCTTCCTAATAGCCTCCATTCATGTGACGTCAAGTCGGCGTGCACTGCGAGCACGAAGCGCCGCTGCCTCGTCTGCACGCGGCTCAAATCGTTCATTGATTGCGAAGTCGGAAGCACGGGTTCAGGATTTGCAGTGGAAAAACAACCTGGCGTCTCCTGATACGTGCGGGGCTGGCTTGGCACGGCTCGGTTGCGCAGTGGAAAAGTCGTACGTGAGACGCACCAGGTTGCAATTACGCACCAATTATCATGTTTGGTCAATGGCTCAAAATTGGTCGAATCTCGGCAGTCAGTATGCTGCCAAAAGATCGCCGATTTGCTCAATTACTTGTGTTGATATTAAAATTGCGCGCATTTTGTTTTATTCATCTTCTCAATCTCAAGAAAACAAACAAACGATTATAGCCATTGGCAAACGGCAAAGTGTTTATACAACGGCCCGCAGCAATTAGGAGTCAGCAAGCGTGCAATCGGGGAAGTAATCTGGCAGATTCCAAACCCATGGGACGAAATAAAACTCCAAAAGCAAATTAGGCAAAAATTATGGATGACGCAACGCTTTAACAAAGTGTTTTTGGCTTCGGAAGCAGACCGAAAACCGAGAATGGCTAATTTGCGTTGGCATGTTTGTAAAAGTCTTTTTTTTGCGCTGGTTTTTTGTCTTCAATCTTTGGGCAACCCTTTCATGAACGTGGCTGATTTTCAATCGGGCAAATCCCCGGCAACTTTATTCTGCGGCTGAGATCTGATGAGATGGGGGCGCATTCCGAGTGGCTTTGGTCGTAGGCCAGGTCACCTTTTAAAGTTTTTCTTCGTGTATCCAGGGCTTCTCAAGTTAATTTCCCGCACCTCCGATTAGCACGGTCGGCTGTGTACGGCGCGAAAGAAGTTCAACGTACACACAACTCCGTGGCGCAGTAACATTATCAGCTCACGGGGTGCAGCAATCGGTCACGTGGGGCCCCCCAATATTGGATTTGTGTCGCATAGTCGCATCCAGGCTAAATCGCGGCTCCTCTTGCCTTTTAAAATAATTACATGGAGTGTTGTTGTTGTTCTTTTCCACTGCTGTTGTTGAAAACAAACGTCATCATGGTGGTTGTCAAGAGGGGCCCCCCAACTCGTAGCTGTGGCCACCAGGGGGGGGGGGGGCAAGGCACCCCCTGCCTGCCCACCACGCTCGTTACGCTACTGTTGACCATACTTCACCACGGCAGTTACACGACCGGTGACCATACTTCACCACGCTAGTTACACTACTGGTGACCATACTTCACCACGCTAGTTACACTACTGGTGACCATACTTCACCACGCTAGTTACACTACTGGTGACCATACTTTACCACGCTAGTTACACTACCGGTGACCATACTTCACCACGCTAGTTACACTACAGGTGACCATACTTCACCACGCTAGTTACACTACTGGTGACCATACTTAATCACGCTAGTTACACTACTGGTGACCATACTTCACCACGCTAGTTACACTACTGGTGACCATACTTCACCACGCTAGTTACACTACAGGTGACCATACTTAATCACGCTAGTTACACTACTGGTTACCATACTTCACCACGCTAGTTACACTACTGGTGACCATACATCACCACGCTAGTTACACTACTGGTGACCATACTTCACCACGCTAGTTACACTACTGGTGACCATACTTCACCACGCTAGTTACACTACTGGTGACCATACTTCACCACGCTAGTTACACTACTGGTGACCATACTTTACCACGCTAGTTACACTACCGGTGACCATACTTCACCACGCTAGTTACACTACAGGTGACCATACTTCACCACGCTAGTTACACTACTGGTGACCATACTTAATCACGCTAGTTACACTACTGGTGACCATACTTCACCACGCTAGTTACACTACTGGTGACCATACTTCACCACGCTAGTTACACTACAGGTGACCATACTTAATCACGCTAGTTACACTACTGGTTACCATACTTCACCACGCTAGTTACACTACTGGTGACCATACATCACCACGCTAGTTACACTACTGGTGACCATACTTCACCACGCTAGTTACACTACTGGTGACCATACTTCACCACGCTAGTTACACTACAGGTGACCATACTTCACCACGCTAGTTACACTACTGGTGACCATACTTCACCACGCTAGTTACACTACTGGTGACCATACTTCACCACGCTAGTTACACTACAGGTGACCATACTTCACCACGCTAGTTACACTACTGGTAACCATACTTCACCACGCTAGTTACACTACTGGTGACCATACTTCACCACGCTAGTAACACTACTGGTGACCATACTTCACCACGCTAGTTACACTACAGGTGACCATACTTCACCACGCTAGTTACACTACAGGTGACCATACTTCACCACGCTAGTTACACTGCTGGTGACCATACTTCACCACGCTAGTTACACTACAGGTGACCATACTTCACCACGCTAGTTACACTACAGGTGACCATACTTCACCACGCTAGTTACACTACAGGTGACCATACTTCACCACGCTAGTTACACTACAGGTGACCATACTTCACCACGCTAGTTACACTACAAGTGACCATACTTCACCACGCTAGTTACACTACAGGTGACCATACTTCACCACGCTAGTTACACTACAGGTGACCATACTTCACCACGCTAGTTACACTACAGGTGACCATACTTCACCACGCTAGTTACACTACTGTTGACCATACTTCACCACTCTAGTTACACTACTGGTGACCATACTTCACCACGCTAGTTACACTACTGGTGACCATACTTCACCACGCTAGTTACGCTGTGAACCGGGCCCAACCGTCGGCACCTTTTTGTTATTCTCAACGACGTGGCCCCGAAACAAATAAACTTGGTTGGTTTCCTCTTTAAATTGTCCCTCCCGTTCCGTCTTCTCGTTTCCGTCTCTCTTTCACCCACCAAATAATTCACTGTGTAACAAATTTGTTCTTGTCCCTGGGTAGTAAGTGTCATTTCCTAATTGTTTATGCCTCAAAAGTACAGAAAATGGCTATAACTATTATTATTCCCTACTAACTTTGCTTTTGTGACCAGGACATTGAGATTTAGACATTTACCTATTTTCAATGAGAACACGTGGTGCGAATTTGTGTCATTCGCTCAAAATGAAGTCCTGGTCACAAAAGCAAAGTTAGTGGGGAATAATAATAATAATAGCCATCTTCTATACTTTTGAGGCATAAGCAATTAGAAAATAACACTTAGTACCCAGGGACAAAAAAAATCGTGTTACATAGTGTCATTCCCGTCGAGGAGACAGCGAGCGGACGGACGCGGTGCATTCCAATAGTTGGTGTTTTTATTTGTTTTTTTTTACCAGCAAGCCGGGCTTAACGAGCAGAAATATATTTTTTTAAAAACTCCGGAACGAATCGAGGGGAGGGGGAGAGGGGGGGTAGAGGTTTCTGTGGCAGGGCAGAGATCGGAGCAGCACGGCTAAGTGTAACCACTGCTTCTATGGGAGCGCCCCTTTTGTCAATCCACTGCTGGATGACTCCCCCCCACCCACCTCTTCCAACACGCGTGGTCAGCGCAGAGTAGTAAAGACCGAGTGCCATCTCGAGTTGGCGCTCACGGGAGGCCCATCCACCAGCAGTGGCGTGAGAGAGAGCAACTGCAGGGCTGCGCCTTTACCGGTTCACATTGCGTGTACACGTACAGTACTGCCATGACTCCAGCCACACCGGGCGGGTCAGCGGGGGGGGGGGGGGTTATTTGACCATACTTCACCTCGCTCGTCAGTGGAGGTCGGTGTAGGCAGGGGGACCGTGGGAACATAGTAGTGCAGTACAACAATGGGAGGTCCTGCACTGCCCAAAGCGTAACCCCTCCGTGTGACATCTCCCGAATGTTCACTCGCGTTCAATCAATATTAGTTCCCCAACATCAATATTCGGGAACATTGTGGCTTACTCTCCAAAATATCTGCACAGACATTTTTTTTACGTTTTGCTTCAAACAAATTATGAATCTTCCGTCGCGCATACGGAGGAAGTCTTGAGTGGCGACACTTTCACCATCGCTCCGTGTCGTTTCACTCTGGGCATCGCGGGACATTTACACGCCATCTGTTTTGGGCCTAACTTTCGTCCTCACCTATGTAGCCAATTGCTTCTGTTTGTACCCCCTAACCCATAGCAAATATCGCTTGCTACCGGGCCACAAATAAGTGGGGGGGGTGGTAGGGGTGGTGGTGGTGGGGGTGGTGGGGGGTGGTAGGGGGCGGTGGTGGGGGGGGGGGGTGGTAGGGGGCGGTGGTGGTGGTGGGGGGGTGGTGGTGGGGGGTGGTGGTGGTGGTGAGGGGTAGGACTATGAACGTTCCCTGGTGGGAGGGACGATTCAAATTACGGCCGCACACTTAGCGCGCAAACGACAAAAACCCAAAACAACCCCACGCTCGTTGGCCTTAAAAGGAAAACAATTATAAAAAATGGGTGACGTTTCGGGCAATGGCCCTTCTCCATAGCGCGCACAAACGAAAGGGCCCATCGTCCTACAAACAGTTGCCCTTCTCTACGTTCCCCTTGTGAGGCCACGCGTCACACCGCCGGTACTGACGGCCGTTGTCCTCCGAGGGGGTTTTTTTGTTGTTGTTGTGTATATTCTTTTTTAGAACCGCATCAAAATCACGGCGTAACCATCCGCCATTGGCGTCCCCTTGCCGCAGCAAGAAGCGCACGGGGCTCCAGTGTCCAAACGTAACGGCGGGTGTCCGCCTAGCGCGGTGTTCTTCCACTTCGTTTTCAGAGGCATGGGGGCCCCCAACCTGACGCCGATAAGACGTCGTCAGTGTGAGGGCCGCTACACATTTCAAACCAGTGGGGGTTTGACAGCAGCGCGATGATGATGATGATTGGGGGAGTGTTTTCACTCCTTGTGTATTGTTGGGGGCCACACTAAAGGTCACCCAGGGGAAGCCGGCGGCCTGCGGGCCCTTGCAATGAAGAACCCCGGCTTAGCGCACATATTTGTGATCTTTTAGGGGGTTTCCCTTAACCACAGTGGCTTCAGACCCCCCCCTCCTGCCCCCCCCCCCCCATTGTAGCTCCTGATGCACGACGAAGAAAACATCACAATCTAAAAAGCGTCGCAGTCACAGCGCTAATAAACGCGAAGGTGTTTCGCTTTAGCCGCACGTGTGGTGGACGCAGATTCAACAACAAACGCTGGGCAGCAGTGGCAGCCCTGCTCAGCCCAGCACCTCTGAAAGCTCATCTGCCTGTGGTTGTTGACATCTCCAAAGGGCACTGTTTATCCTTCTACGGGACCTAAAAAGCCATTTCATAGTAATTCTAATTATCGACGGTTTCGAGGAAATTCTGACTTTAATTTGCTCGTTATGCATCATTATTATTATTGTTAGCTTTTGGAACGAGTTACATTCGCGCGTTGCGCCAGACAGGCAGCCACGACCGCTGTTGATATTCGAAGAATTCGCCGTCGTCGTGGGAGCAGAGAGGACGGGACAGGAGAGGGGAGGGGGTCAGGGGCAAGAAGACCAAAACAAAACCTTCACGGGATGTTCGCGTGAACTCGCAGAGACGGCAAACAACCCCAACGCTTAACCCGTCGAGTTGGGGCCAAACGGAAGGGAAGGAGGGAGGAAGGCCGAGAGGTCGGCCGTGGAAAAGAAAATTAAAAATAAATGATGTTGTGCAGACCTTGTTCCTCTTTCGTAGCCAACCCCATCCTAATCGGAGGTGTGGGAAATCACTTCCAATACCACTGCCTAGACAAGGAGACCAACAACGACTATGACGATGATGACCCCGACGATGCTGGTCTCGTTGGTGTCGTTGTCGACTGTTGTGGCGCTTCAACGTCAGCGCTGGAGAGACAAAGGCTGTGCCAGGCACGCTTGCTGGCCACACGACAATCCTTGCATGCTCCGTCGGCCTTAATAGGCGCTCGCCAACAGCACTTGCCCTAAAAAGTCTACGATGTTCTGTACGTCAGTCGTTGGGTTGATGTAGGCGTGTATGTTGAACTTCTTTCACACCGTACGTAGCCAACCATGCTAATGCCAGGTGCAGTATGAGGGCCTCCCCGTGCCGTGGGGGTTGTTCGACCGTATTTCACAACACTGACAAGGCCATCGGGAGAGATGTGTTCTTGTTCTTGTTGATGGTGGTGGCCGAATGCATGGCGATGAGGATGCTGACAGGGATAACGAGAGAGGTGACGAGGAGGAGCAGGGGGGGTGCGCGAGGCTCGAAGCAAGCCAAGACATTGCGGACGAGTGCAAGCTAGCAGCAGCAGCAGCATGTGGGCTGCGAGAATTCACGAGAGTGGCTTGGGGCCTTGCTTCAGTTGGCATTATTTTAAGTGCGTCTAGTTTGTTGTCCTTCCCCCGCGCACCTCCGATTAGCGCGGTTGGCTACGTACGGTGCGAAAGAAGTTCAACATACATCCATGATGGTGGTGATGGCTGTGGTCATGTTGATGGTCATGTTGAGGAGGTACCTGCATGAGGAAGTAGGGGATGTTGACGTTGATGATACTGGTGATTCTGACGATGCGGCCGTCTGGAACGCTCTTCTGATATTAGGAAGCCAATGGGAGTTATGCACGTTTAAATCATCTAGATTGAAACGTCCTTTCTATAGAAAACCGGTTAATCCTGCGGGCGTGTAAACCGTATTAAACACTTACGCGCCGCTCACGTCACGGATGATGTCGATCGTCCACCGTGACGCGATGCGCGTCAAGGCGATACGCGTCGTAACGACATCGTCGGCCCGCGAGGACGCCGGCGTCGCGAATTTTAAAGATGCCGCACGCTTTGGGGAAGAATAAAAAACGCGCGGCAACATTGGCCCCTACGGCGAGACTCGGCAGGAACCCTGCTGATAAACGAGGCCTTGAGACTCAAGTGAGGCTTTCCGAGATGTGAAATACCTCGCCTGGCATGCAGTGGGCTCGTGGGTTCAATCCCGACCCTTGACGCCTGTATATTTGGAGTTTGCAGGTCTCTCTCTCTCTCTCTCCCCGTGGTGGTGTGGATTTGTCTCCGGATTCTCCGATTCCCCCCCACCCCCCACATTTAGAATCAACATCACCACGCGTTTAGAGTATTTGGCTGCTGCTATAAATGTCCACGTGATGATGAGCCACTTCGTTGAGCTATCATTGGTGGCCAGGTCACTTCGGAAAAAAAGAGCTACATAGCTCAGTGGGGCTTCCTTAGTAAAATAAAAAAATAGTTTAGTCTTTACCTCATATTGTACAACACAGCAGTGTCCCGGAAAGAGGGGGACGCATGAGCCTCTCGACAATGAGGCACTGCTGTCAGTGGTAGCGCAGGCAGCACCTGACACGCACGCAGAGCAGTCGGGAGAATGGCAGTCAAGCGGCGTGCAGACGTCACGGACCCACAGACGTCACACGGACCCACAGACGTCACACGGACCCACAGACGTCACACGGACCCACAGACGTCACGGACCCACAGACGTCACGGACCCACAGAGGCTCCCATGGAAGGGGGCCCACAAGTGCTGCAAGGGCACGAGAGCCGGCGGAAAGGACCCGCCTCTCGCTGGGCTCATCAGCATCCCAGCCAGTCCTTGAGGCTGACCCCGACCTTGTTCAGTCTCAGGTTGCGGTCCATGTACTTCTGGTAGTAGAAGTCCTTAAAGAAGTAGACGGCACCTGCAGGAGAGGAGGGGCGGGGGCAAAGGGGTTACAGTCCCCAGCATTATCAGAATCTGTATGAAGAATCTGATGAGCTATGAAGCTCTTTTTCACAGATGTCCAGTCGGGGCAGGTCAGAACGTTACGACAACAAACAACACAACAAACACAAACACGACAGGAGTGCAAAGTATAGGAAAGGTAAAAAAAAAACACTTATAAAAAAAGTTTTGATTTATTTGGATATTTTTATCACCAGGTAAGACCCACCGAGCCATTAGCTTTTTTTTCAGAAGCTACCTGGTCACAAATGACAGCTCAGCGAAGTGGCTTGTCATTATCATCACGTTGAAATCCACAGCAGCAAAATAACCCCGCGGTTCCGGACTATTCCAAAACGCCGCAGCCAGGCGCCTCCTCGCACGCGCCCGCTGAACGAGGCTCCGTCGCCCTGCTCGCTCCACAGGCTCCCCATCCAAACCCAGGATCGGTATCCAAAACGCTCGTTCGCCCTCCTCAAGATCCTCCCGGTGGAGACAACAGAGTCCGCCTCGAGTGTTACAATCTCGGGCGATAACGTTTGCAGGTGGACTCAATGAGAAACTGCAACGTGCTGGCACGGTAACATCTCAATGTGCCGTGGTGGCGAGGAGATGTTGACTGCCTCGCCTGGTATACAGGAGGTCGTGGGTTCGATCCCGACCCTGACGCCTGCTGTATGTTTGGAGTTTGCGTGTTCTTCCCGTGGTCACGTGGATTTTTCTCCGGGTCCTCCGGTTTTTCCCTCCACTTTTAGAATCAACGTCACACATTGAGAGTATTTTTCTGATATACATAATTTGTGACCAGGTTGTTTCTGAAAAAGAGCTATACAGCTCAGTGGGCCTTACCTGGTGAAATAAAAATAGGAGTAAATAATAGTAATAGCTTCATCATCACTGCTTTCCTCACATAGAGATATTTTGACTCACGTAGAGAAGCACCGACTCATAGACCCATTGACATAAATACCGACCCGCAAACTCATAGAGACCCGCGGACCGAGAGATCCATGAGACTCACAAACATATAGAAACCCACAGACTCACATAGAAACCCACAGACTAACATAGAGACCCACAGACTCAAATAGAAACCCACAGACTCACATAGAAACCCACAGACTCACATAGAGACCCACAGACTCACATAGAGACCCACAGACTCACATAGAGACCCATAGACTCACAAAGAGACCCATAGACTCACGTAGACTCATATACAGTGACCCAGTTGACTATGAATGACCCCGAGTGACCTTGAGTGACTTTGAATTTCCCCTGAATAATCCAAATGACACTGAATGACCCGGAATAGCGCACATGAGCCCGAGTGACTCCGAATGACGTGGAATAATTCGAGTGACCCTGAGCGACGCCGATTGACCAGAGGGTGACCCCGAATGACCCCCAGTGATCCCGAGTGACCCCAAAAGTGTCCGTCCTGGCATCCCGCCGTCGGGACTCACCACCGTGTGCTAAGGTGGCGTCGACGCTGTCCGGCACGCCGTTCCAGTAGTCGCCGATCAGCTTGGGGTAGTCTGCATCCATCTTCTTCTTGTGCTCGTTGTATCTGAGCACAACAACGTCCCCCCACACATGAACACGTGACTCTCCCACCGCTGGAATATTCGTTTTGTGATTCATATCATTGGATTTTCCGGGAGCATTTCCGATATTTTGTCCAGATTCTCTGCTCTTGTAATATTTTGCATTATTTACACGCCAAGCACTAATAATGTACATTGTGGGGCGATTTCTGGTGGCGGGGGGGCGGGGGAAAAACCGGACATGACGTCACTAAAATATCAGTGACATTACTTCTGATTTTCCAAAATCGTGCTCGGAAAATAACGATTGGATCGTCCAAAATGTAATATATAGGCCCAATCTAACAGATGAATTCCAATTAATTGTAAAATACAGCAGTTCGTGGGTTTGATCCCGACCCTGATGCCTGTACGTGGAGTTTGCATGTTCTCATGCTCTCTCTCCCCGTGGTTGCATGGATTTTTCTCCGGTTCCTCCTGTTTTTCTCTCCACATTTAGAAACAATGTCACGCGTTAAGAGCATTTGGCTACTGCTATAAAATTCCACGCGACAAATCCACTCCATTGAGCTATCAATGTGTGATGGCCAGGTCGCTTCTGAAAAAAATCTGTACAGCTCAGTGGACCTTGCCACTTGGTAAAAAAAAAGTTTAGTTTTATTTTCTAAAATAGCTATGAGCCACGCGCCACCTTATTCCAACGCGTCGCTCGGCACAACTTCACGGCACGTTGGCACGGTTCATCATCGTCATCATCTCGGCGCTCACCTCCAGTACTTGTCCCCGGCGAAGAGGTACGTCTTCTTGTTGTGCGACCAGTAGAACGCCGCGTCCAGGCCCGGCAGCTCCGCGGGCAGGCCCAGGCGCGTCACGCTCTTGGGGTAGCCCGGCAGCAGCTTGCCACCCGCGTACGCCCAATACTTGGTGCCTGGTGGGTGAGGACGAGGTCAGAGGCGGGTGAGGGCGGGGGTGGGGGGAGACATGGGTGAGCACAGCTTCGCAGCTATCCGGCCGAATAACAGTCACGCGTTTAGAGTATTTTGGCTGCTATAAATCTCCAAGCGATAAGCCGCTTTCGTTGAGCTATCATTAGTTATAGGCAGGCCGCTTCTGAAAAAGAGCTACAATCGCTCAGTGGGCCCTTACCTGGTAAAATAAAACATTTTTTATGGTTTAGTTTTATCGCTTACACATCGTAACATGACCGCGGGAGTAAGCAAGCCGCTCAAAGTCGGGCCTAGGCCCCTAAAGCGCTGGTTCTTAGTGGGCCTTAACCGGTAAAATAAAAATAGTTTGTAGTTTTCGTTCAGTATTAACCGACGTGAGCTGCGAGATTTGCTAACCCTGGCAGCAAAGCGGCGGTTCGATCGCGTTGGGGGGGGGTGCTCACCGGAGAAGAACACAGTGTGGTTGCTGCTGGGTTCGGTGTACGCGGCCTCAACCCTCTCGGGGAGGCCCTCCCACACATCGGTGTTCCAGCGGGGACGGCCCGCCCGCGAGCCTGGGTGCGTCACGCGCATGTGCATCCTGCAACAGGGGCGGGCGCACCAGGAGGAGGAGGTGATGAAGGTGTCCCCCCCACCCCCGCAGTGCGTGTGTGTGGCGTGCACAGACTCTCCCATCGCTCATTAAACCCGCTCCTCCCACTTCACGGCGTTGGTTGTCCTTCCCCGCACCTCTGATTAGCACGGTTGGCTACGTACGGTGCGAAAGAAGTTCAACACGCGGTACACACACGCTTAGAAATTGGTATTTCCGACCAGCGCTGGCCAAAGGGGTTGTACTCACTTGTTCTTGAAGAAGTAGACCTGCCCGTTGATCTGGGCGATGGCGTCGAATTTCACCTTGACGTCCTTACACACCTCGTACTTGGGCCCCGTGTCGGGAGCCTGAGTCGGTGGGGCAACTGGGGCCTTGGTGGGCTGAGAGGGCTTCCCGCCCTTCCCCTCGCCTGCACCAACGGGGAAGGGGAGGGAATGGGAGGTAGGGGGGGCGTCACCACCACTGACATCACCGTCGTTACCACCATCAGCATCACCAGGACCACCTTCACCACTATCATAACAACCATAATCAACATCATTACCATCGACACCACTGCTGATCTGGATTAATGGAGCATCCAAATGCCCCTGCGGGCCCTCTTATCCAAACCAGCTGTGCCGAACCAGCCCTAGCGCGGCTCAGGGGGCGCCAGCATTGTTTTTCCACTGCACATGCCGAGCGGCGTCACACGCAGTGAAGACGACACGTGATGTATGGTAAACTTCTTTCGCACTGTGCGTAGCCAACCGTGCTAATCGGAGGTGCGAAACCCAGGCAGCGGAGATGAGAGCGCCAAATCCTAACCAGTGGACCACCAGGGAATGCTGTGTCCTCAGTGTAATGACTGAAAATACACGCGTTGAACGTGTCAGTAGCCTCGACCCTGGCCCTGCTTGGCGACAAGCCAGACACGAATGTCTGTCAGAGACCAGCAGCAGCGCATCACAATTTGGTCCCGGCTCGGCACGGCCTCAACTAACCGGTGGAAAAACCACCTGCACCGTTAGGGCCCCGCGCTGGCTCGGCTCTCGATGTGCCAGTGCCAAAAAGTGCATAGTCAACCATGCTAATCAGAGGTGCTAACCTGACGCGGGTAGCAAGCAGTCCCCTGCGCAGTGCCCATCCCTTCCCCAGCGACAGGCACCCTCCCAGCCACAAACCCATCTATCCACCCACTCACCCACCCACCTGCACTCCCACCCACCAAACCCACCCGCCCGTCTGCCCGCCCGTCTGCCCGCCCGCTCACCGTAGAGGTACTGGATGCCGGCGATGTCGTCAGGGGTGAGCGGGTTGTCGCGCGTGAACTTGTAGGTGGGGAACATGAGAGCCTCCTCCTCTTGCGAGTGCTCCAGGCCCAGCGCGTGGCCAAACTCGTGCGCCGCCACCAGGTAGAGGCTGTAGCCTGGGCACGGTGGTGGGGAGGGGGGGAATGGGAGGGGTCACGACGCACGGTCAGGGAGCTCGCCGGCCGGGCCAATCGTGCGGATGACCACTCGTGCCGGTCCCCTCGAGTTCTCAGCGGGGCGAGCAGAAGAACTTAACGACTCGGGCTTCATTTGTTTGCCGTGCCCAACCTCTTTCTGACAGGTGTCTCCCCCTCCCCCCCACCAGACTTTGCTTCTGAGGACCCATGGTGGTGAGATGTTAACGACCTCACGTGGAATACAGCAGCTCTGTGGGTTTAATCCCGACCCTGACGCCCGTTGTATATTTGGAGTTTGCGTGTCTCTCTTTCTCCCTGTGGTAAGGCCCAGTGAGCGCTCTTTGTCAGAAGAGACCTGGCTACCACCAATGATAGCTCAACGAAGTAGTGGTTTATCATCACCTAGAAATTGATAGCAGCAGCCAAATATTTGAAACGCGTGATGTCGATTTTAAATGTGAAGGGAAAAACTCGGAGGACTCGGAGAAAACTCCATGTGACCACAGGCAGAGAAAGAGAGACATGCAAACTCCAAATATATAGTAGGCGTCAGGGTCGAGATCGAACCCATGATGTTCTGCATACCAGGCGAGGTAGTTAACATCTCCTAGCTACCGTGGCGCCCCGTCTGACTTTTTCGAACAAATTGCTCCCCTCGGAAATGTTCAGCTGGGCGTGCCACCGATGTTCACCTCAACATGGACATCTTTATTCGCTCATTTCATTTCGCCTCGAAGTGGTGTTCACCCCGCCGCCGGACGGAGGCGCGCAAAGTGTGCACGAGGGGGGGCGGGGGAGGGGAGAGTGGGGGAGGTCACCGGCATCGGGACAGAAGCCCCACTTCTTGTCGTCGTCGAAGCTGGAGGTGGTGGCGCACCAGGACTTCCCGTCCTTGCGGCCGTTCTGCGTGCAGGCGTCGTACGAGTCGTCCAGAAACACGAAGGGGAAGACGCACGGCGCGCCCTCCGCATTGCCGCCCGACGTCGCCATGGCTGCGGACGGGAACGAGTGGGAGGGGGCGGGGGGTGGCACCAACCCACGGCCCACGCATGACATCGCGCTCGTGAATATTATTTCACTTCTTGAAACAAAAAATCTGCCGCGAAAACAAATGCTTCCCTCATGCTGTTGTAAACTCACTGCCCCGCCCCGGTACTGGACGTCAGTCAGCAAAGAACTTCGTAGCTCATCGGAGTCCTCCTTCTGCAAGTCTAAATAAAGATTCTGAAAATCCCGGATCGAGCAATTGCCGTGGCATCTGCTGGGTCGGAGAGGGTGCAGTGCCCCAACCGCTCGGTCGGTCTCCCAGCGACTAGTTTGGTCAAAAAACATTTGTATCGCCTAAGATAGTACAATTCCTGGTACTCAAGTGGAATGTATTTCTAAAAAAGTTAAAAAAGTTCTTTCTTTTTCCAGGTAAGGCCCACTGGGCTATACAGCTCTTTTTCAGAAGCGACTTGGCCACAAATTATAGCTCAACGATGTGGCTTTTCATCATCACGTGGACATTTATATAATAGCCAATTACTCGGAGAATAATCCACGCGACCGCATGGTGAGAGAGAGACACGCACACTCCAAAAATACAGTAGGCATCAGGGTCGGGATCAAACCAATGATCTCCTGTATACCACCACGACCTCCTACATACCCCCCTTGGCCACTGGCACATCCGAGCTCCTCAGCGTGCAGGGAGGCACCTCGGACGTCTCGTGAGGCCGGCGTAGTGCGGTTTGGCTGCGCACTCGGCGCCGCAAGAAGACCATCCACACTGCAACGCGGCCTTCACAGTCCACAGCGTGACAGCGATCGCCACGGCCGGACCGTCGATCGCACGATCAAACGACTCCCGCGCCGCCGATTCGCAGCCAACTCTCGCCGATCGCCGCCGAGCCTCCGCAGAGGCTATCGAACCTCCTTCACAACCTCGACACTCACAGAGACGACGTCCCTGGCTTCACCGTGCCATGCGAACGAAGTCTTGACGCGCGGCTCGGATAACGTGCCAGTGGCACAGGCAAATAGCCGGCCGGCGGGAAAGACCGCCGCGTTTCCGCGAGGGCCCAGAGTGGGCGCGACTCCTGCCGGACGCTGCGGCGATGTGCCCACCACCCCACTGGCCCCAGCCTCCCCTGTCACCGTCGGAGGGGCAGAAGCCGTAGAGCTTGTCGCGGTCGTAGTCCTCCGTGGTGGAGCACCAGCGGTAGCCATCCTTGCGCCCGGTGGCGGTGCACGAGTCGTACGTCTCGCCCAGGAACACGAAGGGGAACTTGCACGGCTTGCCGCCGCCGTTGCCGCCGAACGTCATGAGGCCTGGGGGGGTGCCGGCGGCCGCACGGGTGGGCAAACGAGCGGGGCGGTGGAGCGCGCACAGTGGGGGCCTGCATGCGCAAGGCTATTTATTTTCGACTAGCATTGTACTTCTCCACGCTTGTCAATGCGTTGTGCAATCCATTGTTATATTAATTGAAAACTCGTTTTCTAAATCGAAATCTCGTTTCCTTAGAACTGCTCGTCATTGTGTTTAGTTTGTGGTCATTCACCCCGCCGTACCTCCGATTAGCACGGTTGGCTATGTACGGCGCGAAAGAAGATCAACATACGTACGTACAAAGTGTCTTACACAGATGAGAGTACCTGGTAGGTTAGGAGGAGCGGTGAAGTTAATCATAATAATGCTTAAGTACCATTGGTAAATGTGCAATTTTCATCACGCAAGGCTAGCATGAAGGTGGCTACGTTTCACGCACGAGTATTGTCGGCGGCGATAGTTCCACGGTCGGCGTGCGATGTCGCTTCGTGGTTTTACTCGATTGTGAGATTTGCGTTGCCGTTTTTTGTAAATTTAGCAAATGTGAACACACAACACGTGGCCTGCTCCGTTCAGAATAGCGTCGTGAGATCTTTCACGGCCACTGCGAGTGAAGCGGACAGCGGGGGGTTCAGACACCCGGCACTTTTAACCGGGGCGGCCACTGGTCGCAAAAAAACCTCCACGGCAACGGGGGATGACGAGACTCCAGGATGGGTGAGCGGGTGATCGAGCGAGCGAGCGAGCGAGCGGGTGAGTGAGGGAGTGAACGAGAGGGCGCGTGGCACTCACTTTCAGAGGGGCAAAAGCCGTACTTGGCGTCGGTGTCGAAGTCGGCGGTGGTGGAGCACCACAGCATCCCATCCTTGCGTCCCTTGGCGGTGCAGCCGGTGTACTCCACGCCCTCGAAGAGGAACGGGAAGTGGCACGTGGCTCCCTCGGCGTTCCCGAAGCGCGTCTTGATCACTGCTCGCCCACCGATGGCATCATCGACGTTACAATACCACCACCACCGCCGCCACCAACCACCGGCGACAATACGCACCACCGCCACCGCCACCGCAGCAGCGGCAGTAGCCACAGCAGCACTGGCAGCGATGTCACAAAAAATGTGCGGCACGGCGGTTCGAGATGTGCCACCACCACCGGCGCCGCGCGTGCGGCCACCCCGGGTGGCCCCAGCCGTGGGGGCCACCTGCCGCTGGGCGACGGCGACGGCTGCGCCGTGGGTGCGGGAACACTCGCCACGCCGTTGTTTTACCTTTGCCCTCCCCGAGCGACCACTCCTCGTCGTCGTCGAAGTGCGAGTCTCCCCCCTCGCCGCTGCGTGGAGGGAAGGCGTGTGCCAGCAGCCCGTCCTTGCCGTCAAACGGGTAGCCGTCGCCGTGCTCTGAGACGCGCATGCACGCCCGCACGTCAAGGAGCATGAACCATCACCACGCGAACGCCGGTCATCCTCGCAGGGGCCTTTGACTGGCCATGAGATAAAGATGGTGACCGCATCGTGCACTTTCAGATGCTTTTCTGCGGCCGTCTGGAGCATTCTTCCTTCCAATATCAGGAAGCCACTGGAGCTGTGCACTTTTAAATCATTTAGATTGAAAACTAATTTCTTGGGAACTGCTTTTTGTATTGTACTCCCCCCTCCCACACCCCCTATCAGCACGGTTGGCTACGTACGGTGCAAAAGAAGTTCAACTTACGTACATATATGCATGTATAACTTATTGCGCACCGTACATAGCCAACCGCACTAATCGGAGGTGAACCTGAGAGCTGTTGACTCCCGCCATGAACACAAACAGCGCAATAGAGGAAAGGACAAAACGATATCTGATAGATATTTTGTTCCCATCGGTGAACATTCATTGCCTCCTAATCATTCGAACACCCATTAAGGTTAGGGTTAGGTGCTGCGTTAGGGTTAGGGTTAGGTGCTGCGTTAGTTAGGGTTAGGTGCTGCGTTAGGGTTAGGTGCTGCGTTAGGGTTAGGGTTAGGTGCTGCGTTGGTTAGGGTTAGGTGCTGCGTTGGTTAGGGTTAGGTGCTGCGTTAGGGTTAGGTGCTGCGTTAGGGTTAGGGTTAGGTGCTGCGTTGGTTAGGGTTAGGTGCTGCGTTAGGGTTAGGGTTAGGTGCTGCGTTAGGGTTAGGGTTAGGTGCTTCGTTGGTTAGGGTTAGGTGCTGCGTTAGGGTTAGGGTTAGGTGCTGCGTTGGTTAGGGTTAGGTGCTGCGTTGGTTAGGGTTAGGTGCTGCGTTAGGGTTTGGTGCTACATTGGTTAGGGTTAGGTGCTGCGTTGGTTGGGGTTAGGTGCTGCGTTGGTTAGGGTTAGGTGCTGCGTTGGTTATCGTTAGGTGCTGCGTTGGTTAGGGTTAGGTGCTACGTTGGTTAGGGTTAGGTGCTGCGTTGGTTATCGTTAGGTGCTACGTTGGTTATGGTTAGGTGCTACGTTGGTTATGGTTAGGTGCTGCGTTGGTTATCGTTAGGTGCTGCGTTGGTTAGGGATAGGTGCTGCATTGGTTAGGGTTAGGTGCTATGTTGGTTAGTTACGCTACGTTGGTTAAGGTTAGGTGCTACGTTGGTTAGGGTTAGGTGCTACGTTGGTAAGGGTTAGGTGCTGCATTGGTTAGGGTGAGGCGCTACGTTGGTCAGAGTTAGGTGCTACATTAGTTTGGGTTACGCTCTACATTGGTTACGGTTAGTTTCTACATTTGTTATGTTAGGGCCCTCCCTTAGTTAGGGTTAGGTGCTACTTCAGTTAGGCTTCACTAGTGGAGGGGAGGGGGAGATAGTGGGGGGTGGTGGCAGTAGTGAGGGGCGGGGCGGGAGGAGGAGGAGGGGGGGGTGTCTCACCTCCACGGCCGAACATGATCATGATGTCGGCCTCGCCGTCGTAAAGCCGCTGGAAGGTGAGCGGCGTCACGGCGCTCCAGAGCGCCAGCGCGCGTGCGAACGCGTCGTCCACGAGGCGCGTGTCCAGGTCGGGCGTGTAGTTCAGGATCCTGCCACGCACGCAAACGCGGCCAAGCGGCACCGCCGCCGCCACCGCCGCCACCCCGGTCGTCATTCAGCCCTTCGGTCACGACGAGTTTTGTCCGCGGTAAAGAAAAATTGTCCGCGATGATGCCGAATTGTCTGCTCTGTCTTTGCGCAGAGGAAATTACTATTTACAGTACAGGGGCATAGAGCGCCACGGTGGTGAGATGTTGACTACCTCGCCTGGTATACAGGAGGTCGTGGGTTCTATCCCGACCCTGACGCCTGTGTATATGGAGTTTGCGTGTCTCTCTCTCCGTGGTTGTGTACATTTTTCCCCGGGTCCTCCGGTTTTTCCCTCCACATTTAGAATCAACGTCACGCGTTTAGAGTATTTTGCCGCTATGAATTTCCACGTGATGATGATAAGCCACTTCCCGTTGGGCTATCATTTGTGATAGCCAGGATGCTTCTGAAAAAGAGCTACGTTGCTCAGTAGTGAGCCTTACTTTGATAAATAAGAAATAGTTTATAGTAAAAAATAAATCCGTCATGATCTCAGTGGCTAACATCGACTGAAATAATTACGAATGACATCAGAGGAACTTTAATACATCGGCTTTCGTGACCACTTTTATTTCATAATAAAAGTTTTAATTGGGTTAGATTTTGTAAATATAAAAGATCGCGAAAATATAAACGTCGTACTCAAAATGTAAATGTTGTGGGTTTACTCTCCGGTTTTGTTTACGCGACGAACCTTACTAATTGGCTGTATCGGGTGGTGGTGGGTGTAACGACACATTTACAGTTACGTGATCTAACCCAACAAAAACCACGATCGTGGGAACTTTAACGTCCTCTGTGAGAGAATCCGACGGCGCGTAGTAGTATCGTTATTACTACTACCATTACGGTGACTACGCCCGCGGTAATAACCAGGGCTGCCGCTCCGATTCGAACCACGAAACATCAGAGGCATCGCCGCCGGGCCGCGTCGCCGCAAAAAAGGCCACGGGCGCAGCACGGCCGGGCGCGGCCCAGCCGGCGCTGCCGCCACCCCGACTGCGTCGCGCCGGGGCCCGGTTTTCGCGGGGCCCACCTGTAGGTGAGCTGCTCTTGGTCCCACTTCTCCTTGCGAGGGAACAGGTTGTAGGCGGCCACGTCGGGCACCCCGCACCGCGGCTTCTTCATGACGGCCACCGTGGCGGCGTCCAGCTCGCCGGTCTCCGCCAGGCGGAAGAAGCGCTGCATCTTGCGGATGGAGGAGGGCAGCTGCACCATGCTGCTGGAGTCGTTCCGCGTCTCCGTGTAGCCCAGGTTCTTCAGGTATTTCTGCGCACGTGCGAGAGAAAGACAGGGAGGGAGAGGGGAACGGGGTTGATGGTCGGATGAGGAGGAGGATGATTGGGTTTGGTCGAGGCGGTGATACTGCAGCTGCGAGGTAAGCAGAGGTGGAGGAGCTGGAAATGGGAAAGTAGCAGAGTGAGATTTTGGAACGTATGCACAGTATGTGTACGTACGATGGACTTCTTTTGCACTGTACTTGGCCAACTGTGCTCAGAGGTGTGGGGGGAAGGAAAACAAACTGAACACAATAAAGCAGTTTTCAAGAAAGAGTTTTCAATCGAGATTTAAAAGTGCGATCTGGGAATGGGACGAGAGACGTGTGAACGTGTGGGCAGGCAAACGCACCATGGCCATCCTTAGGTTGCGCATTTGCTCCTCGCTCTTCTCTTGCAGGGAGGAGGCGAGGGGGGCGTCTTCCCCGTCGCCCGCTCTCCCGCCAACGTCGTGCTGTCCGGGCTGCCCGTAGTCCTGGGGTTCCGCGCCGCCGGCATCGCCCGTCTGCTCCCCGCCGCCGCTCTCCGGGGCCAAGGGGGCACTCGGCGCCAGCGGCAGGAGCGCCAGCAGCAGCAGCAGCAGCGGCGGCAGTCGCACACCAAGCCCACGGTGGGACGACATCGCAACAAAACAAACCCCGCGCGGTCTTGAGACAAAGAAAACTCGGGAGAGATCAAACGGGGCTAGCGAAAACAAGGATTTAAGAACTTCAAATCCAGAAGGATTTAAGATTTGTTTTTTTTTCAATGCGACCTGGAGCTCGGGGGTCACTGCGAGCGAACGAGGCGCGCAGTCCCTGCTCGCGATGCGCGCGTCGAGAGACGCTTATAACCCCTGGCGCTCGCTGGCGGAACAGGAAACGGGAGGAGGGAGAGCGGCTGGCTGCTGGCTTGCGGTGGGGGGGGAACCGTGAACGGAGGAGAGGGGGACGAAGGAGTAGAAGGAGGAGGTGGAAGAGGGAGGCACAGGGCGGGCGGTGAGGAAATTGCACACGAGCGAGCCCCCGAGTGCAACGGTTGGACATCGCGTCCCCCCCTACTGCCCTCCGGGGGAGAGAGGGCCCTTCCATTGTTTTGGTAATTTGAGGAGTGAGCCAGGAGGAGATCATGATGATGATGATAAGGCGAAGACGAGGAGAATGAGGAAGGAAGATGATAAAAAAAATATATCAAATGTACGTTGAAGTACTTTTGCAGCGTATGTAATCAACTGTGCTATTTGGAGATGTTGATAATGGCCAGGGGTAAGCAACCTGTGGCTCTGGAGTCGCGAGTGGAGGCTCTTTGGCTTACCCCTCGTGGCTCTTTGGCTTGTCCCTTGCAGCCAGCGTTTTTTTTATATAAATACGAAACAACGTAATTGAACGTAAAAAGATAATCGACTAAACATGGCAGGAAATGGGCGACTACGGAATGTCCTGGTGATGAAAAAATGTGCATCGGCCAAACGGTGTCGTTCAAGAATATCTGAGGGGAAATAAACGCGGTTTATTCCATCGCCTATTTAGTTTATTAGAGTCAGAATTTGTTTGCCATCATTCGATTGTTTTTGCCGAATACCGCCGGCTATGCTTGTGCACGTGAACGAGAAGCTCCGCGTGCGATGCGGCTTTCAAACCATTCTGGTCAGACAAAAAAATAAAATAAAATAGCTGCTCTTCTGCTTTGAAAGGTTACCGACCCCTACCCATGGCAGTGGACGCAGCAGCTACCCAGCGCCCAGGCATTGCAACTGCACCCGGCGGGGGGGGTCTTCGTCCTGGAGGGGCCCAGGCGCTGGGCTACGGATCGAGGAGGGGGGGGGGAATTGAGAGAGGGGAGAAAGCCCACCCCAACACCCCACCACTTAATTCCAGCAAGGCCCACGCCAGTCACTCTACATCACTGCCCGACTGTGGTCATCCAGGACACAACGGCGCGTTGCCCCGATCCACGAAAATATGAAGGGCGCATTACACGGCGACGATTCACTACTCCGCTGCTCCTGACGTGGGTTGTCTGGCTCGACCACCACCAGAATGCGACGTTGTGGTTCAGTTGTACGACAACAAGATGATAGCTATGGCCAGAACTAAGAGGAGGTGGGATTACAACCACCCCCCTGCGCCTCTCTTTCACCAGCCTCGCACATGCACTCAAGACTCGGCAATGCGTCACAGCTCCGGCATATTATTTATTTCATTGATCGACGACGCTTGTTGATCCAAGCCGCCCAATCTCAGGACTCTTTATGTCAGGAGGACTCTGCCCAATGTTTTCACGCGCGGCGGTGGTGGTGGTGAAGGGGGTTGAGGGTGATGTTGCCGCTGCTGCTGCTAAGCATTATCCCAGTTGAGTCATGCGCAGTGTCTCGATTTCACAGCACTTTGGGGATAACGTTTTGGCCAACAGCGGTCAGGGTTCGCGAGTGGTTTTTTTAAACTATTGCGATGTATCAAACCGCTCAAGCAAACAAACGCAAGCTACACACGCACTTGCGCCTGCGATTTGTACTCATGTAGGAACTTCTTTCGCGCCGTACGTAGCCAACCGTGATAATAAAGTGTGGGGGAAGGACAACAAAATAGACACAAAAATAAATTATTTTTCAATCTTGACGATGATTTAACAGTGCACAGCTCCAGATGCATACTCTGCTGGCTGTTTGCATCACTCGATGCACACGGAGGGGCCTGGGCAAGGCACGGCCACGACAGACCCCACGCTGTGGGTGGGGGGGGGGTGGGTTGTTAGAGGTCACGTGGGGGGGAGGGGGTGGGAGGGAGACTCGCACATGTCTGTCCAGTGCTCGCCGAGCTGCATTGGTTTGCGGTTGCTGAACGAACACATTACATGTTCGCGCTCATTAAACACAAAGCGCTTGCCACATATGAACTGCAATACCTCGCTGATCTCATCAAGGAACATAAAAGATCACGCAAACTCCGGTCACCCTCACAGCAGCAGCAGCAGCAGCTTATGGCTGGCCATCGAACAAAGACAGGTCACCGCGTCGCGTGCTTTCAGACACGCTTCTGCGGCCTTCTGGAACGCCCTTCCAATATTGTGAAGCCACTAGACCCGTGCACTTTTAAAATCTAGATTGAAAAATAATTTATTTAGAACTGCTTTTTGTGTTTAGTGCTGTTGTCCTTCCTCCCCCCCCCCCCCAGCCCCACACTTCCGATTAGCGTGGCTGACTACGTATGGTGCGAAAGAAGTTCAACATACGCGCACACACGCAAACCTGCACACCGCTCACATCGGCGTATTCGCACTTTTCTCGATGCCAACCGCTGAGTAAGGCCGGCCGCCAGCTCCTCCACTGCAAACACGGAGGGCGCGACGGACGACGGAGCTGACGGCGGGGCGACGTGCAGGGCTGTGGGGCCCACCTGCTTGGCGGAGCGCAGTGAGGCAGTCTTTTCTCCTATAATGCGATCGTTGCTGCGTTCCTGAAGGACACTGCATTATTGAAGAATCGCGTTGTGATGAATTATAATATAGGGTAAAGCACAGTCCGCGATTAACGTGAGATGCGTACGCAGGCCGAACAATGACGGAAGCACGTGGGTAGCATCTAGAAACATCCAGCAGCATCCCGTCTTGAGCGATGCTACGCCGAGTCAGCCATACGACCGCTTATTCCTACTCCGCGACGTAGTTCCGTTTGCTCAATCGCGTTATATCCAATTCGCATCGGCGTTATAAAAAAATGTTCTCTACTACATTCATCGCGTTATATATCCAATTCACGTTACAAAGGAGAAGAAACTGCAATGATAAAGGTTTGCCTAGCTGAGGAAAGCCTCACCGAGTTCCGAGGGGCGCTTTCAGGAGGCTCCTGCCATGCCAGGACGTTTGACAAAGAATTTAATTTCTCAACCCTTTCACATGCCGATGATGTACATGTATGTGTACGTCATCAGTTTTCTTCCGATTCCGTTCCAATGACGTACACGCACGGCACCAGTCATTATCGATGACGTATGTGTGCGTCATCTGAACGGAATCGGAAGATGAACTAAAATTCAATTACTTTATCTGTAAGTCTTCAAGTCGGAGATCTGTGATATTGGACATTTGTGAAAAAGAGCTTTGTAGCTCAACTGATTCCTCCCGTACAAGTAAATATTCTGATTCTGGAAGGCATACCGAGGCTCCCACAAGGCCACGCAAGAGGGTGTGTAGCACAGTTTATCGTCAGCTATCATAAATTGCGGTCGTGCCGCTACAGTTCTCTGCGGTGAGTCACAATGTCTTTAAAAACAACGGCGCTATGCCTCTCTAAATAAAATTCACGCCGAGCCATTCGCGCGTTCCGAGATTCGGTGGTAAACGGGACACCCACACCCTGCAACTTGGAGACGTCTCGGGACGGGAGAGGGTTTGTGAACATTTGGCGTCGTATGGGAGGAGGAAACCGGCGCAGCACTGTATCATGGAGGGGGTTGGGTGACACTCGGCACTGCGACCTCTAAGCTGCCCTCGACTGTGCAGACCACAGCTCACTTGACGAAGGGCTCTCAGATGCAGTTCTGTAATATCCGCTTCCGCGGGCACCACTCCGTGAGAGACCCGAATGGATTCTCCATCTTGTGATGACGCGACGCCGACAGCGCCATTCACGATTGAATTGGGCGATAAATTACAAAAAAATGTACACCACACTTTTGAACGCGTAGCTTTTCTTAGCCAATATCATGATTTACAATAGATTTTCGGGGAAGGCTATGTAATGATCTGTGAAACTCTCCATCAACCCGACAACAGCCAATTGGATTAAACCGTCACGTGTACTAGCGTTTGGACGCACCAGTCATGAGCATTTCGGATGACTGACCGGCAAGCTGAAGAGTAATCCGCACCTTCGATTTCCTTCCTCTGCACCTCCGATTAGCACGGTTGGCTACGTACGGTGCCGAAGAAGCTCTACATACGTTGCACACAGTACAGCCAAGTTCAGCAGTAGACACAGCGTCCACTGCTACATACACTTGTGAGAACTGGTCACATCAGTCCTGCGGCCTGACCCCAAAATCAACAGCGATTCAGTAAAACCTGAGACCCGCCAACCCGTGTTGTCAAAGCGCTGGATCCCAGGGGGTGCAATTGCATCACCACACGAGGCCCACATTCCTCCTCGCTGAAAAACAACACGCGACGTCTGATAGCGCGACGTCTGCCGTGACCGCGCCAAGCCCTCCTGGCTCAGCCTCCCTCCCCAGGCGCTCCCCCTCAGTGACTCAAAGGAAACGTCCCCATTGTAGACCACAACTTTCGGAGAACCAATTATGGGTTCTTGTTGTTGTCATAATTGTCCCTGGTGGAACATCTGGGTGGCTACGGGACACGCACGCATGGGACACAATTACTCCGTTTTCAACTAAGCTGTCGTCTGCGTTGACTCGCAAGTTAATTCCCGTATCAACAACAACAACAACATCGGAGTAGAAATGTGCTAGCGTCACCCCCTACTGCAGGGGTCCGGCCACCAAAACAACCCAAAGAGCCATTTTTTTCGAATTCGATAGAAAAAACATATTTCAAGAACTCCAATGCATGCGAATACAGAATCAGAATGTGTTTACTGGAAGAATCCGATGAGCTATAAAGTTATTTATGAAAGATGTCCAGTAGGGGTAGGTAATAACGTTACAACAACAATACAAAAACACAACAGGAGTGCAAAGTATAGGAAAGTTAAGCAAATCACTTAAAAATAAACAAGTCAAACGACATTATTTTTATCTTACCAGGCAAAGCCCACTGAGCCGCAAGTTGCCGGCCCCTGCCTTCCTGCAAAAAAACAATACTTGGCAGGACCCTCGTGGAAAAAGTCACGAGGCTCAGCAAGCCTTTCCTGGGTAAACAACAGCAACAACAACAGTAAATACAATAACAGTGTAGTCCCTTTCAGGACGCGTCAAAAGTCTAAGTGACGTCCTGCTCAAATGAGCATTGAGGTGGTGACTCGTCTGAGTCAGGGGTGGAAATTCCACGTTCCTGTGACGGGAGCGACCCTCTCCAAAAGGACGCAAATCATTGTTGATTTCACAGGAGTTGGCGGAAAAAACATGGCAATCATGCTGGCATGCGCCACAGCCCAGGAAGGAGTCTCACCTCCCGGCAATGAGAGAGTGGCCAAGTTGGTGGTCACTGTGGTGAGGACTGGCCATTTGTCAACGTGGAGCTATGAGCACACAAACCACCAACGGGCGGCTTCCGCAGCGTCCTGTGTGAAATGCAGAACACAGCATGTGCCTCTGACCGCTGTAAACAACGTCCTGACCACGGTGATGGCACACGGGATGCCCTCGTTAGCTCGCACAAACGAGGTCTTCTGTTGGGAGCCGCATCACTGTCGGGGGAGCGGTGGCGCAACCCCGAATGACCGCAGTACCATCGCCGAGCCGGCATCGACCAGAGTGTCAAGTAAAGGTGGACAGGCGAGGTCTTCGTGAATTGCAGAAGTGCCAACTGGTTGACTGAGCCCAAGTACAGAAGCTACTTCATGGTTATGGTGAACCGTCGAACAAAGACGGTCACCGCATCACACAACACTCTCCAGATGCACTTCTGCGGCCGTCTGGAACGCTCTTCCTTCCCATATTATAAAGCCACTGGAGATATGCACTTTGAAGTCGAGATTGAAAACTACTTTCTTAAGAACTACGTTGTGTTTAGTTTGTTGTCCAACCCCCGTACCTCCAATCTAGCAGGGGTGGCTGTGTACATACATACATACACACATCAAAACACTCGATACAGGATTTCTCTGATCTCTGCTTCTTGCACAGATATAGATTTGTTTTTTTCAGCTGTAGAAAACAGGAGTTTGCGATTTGACAGAGGCCAAGTTAATTTGGCCACCAAGTCTTGAGAAGAATGTACCACGTGCTTTGTAACCCACACATTTTTGGTGTTTTGCAATGCCAACTTTTACTGTACTACATTTTTCTCAAACTTTTTTTAACTCAAAGTTGGGTTGAGGCTAAGAATTTTATATATCGGGGGAGGGGGGGGATGTCAACAAAGATGATATTAACAGAGGTTTGAAAACACATTTTTATTATTTTTATTTCCAAACATATTTTTCAAGAATGACGTCGTGTAAGTTTTTTTTTCATTTCGTTTTAAATAACTTTCCCAGAAATTTTACAATAATTATTTAAAGGAACACTACATTATATATTTTTTAGCACATGGCCAGGTGGTTTTAGCAGCACAGCGAGTTGCTCGCAAGAGGAAGGTCGTGAGGTCAAATCCGAGTTGGAATGGGGTTGAGACTCATCATCATCATCCCTCCGGAGTCGATACAAGACCACAAGCACTGCTCTGTGGTGGTAATCCAACAGTGACTCTCAGAAGGATAGCCTCAAGGCTACCATACGAATATGGAATTGCCACCACTTGCTTTGCAGGGCTGTAAACGGAACAACGGGCACCAACGCCCTCAATTTTCAAGAGCAAAAAAGAAAGCAAACAGAAATCAATGGCTTTGAAATGTATGCATGTACATGTCGAACTTCTTTCGCACCGTACGTAGCCAACCGTACGT